TTTATCCAGGGCTTTGGCAAGGTCGCAGCTCCCATTACCTCCCTGTTGAAGGGTGGGCCGTCCCGGCTCCGCTGGTCTGCTGAGGCTGACCTGGCCTTCAGCAAACTGCGGGGTCTGTTCACATCAGCCCCAGTACTGGCCCACCCCGATTCATCACTACCATTCGTAGTGGAGGTGGATGCTTCCGAGGTTGGGATAGGAGCTGTCCTGTCTCAAAGCTCGGGTACGCCACCTAAGCTCCGCCCCTGTGCGTTCTTCTCTAAGAAGCTTAGCCCGGCGGAGCAGAACTATGGCGTTGGTGATCGGGAGCTGTTGGCTGTTGTCCGAGCCTTGACCGTGTGGAGGCATTGGCTCAAGGGGGCGAAACACCCTTTCCTCGTCTGGACGGACCCCCGTAACCTGGTGTACATCCGGGCAGCGAGGAGGCTGAATCCTCGCCAGGCCAGGTGGGCCCTATTCTTCACCCAGTTTGATTTCACTCTATCATACATCCCGGGTACGAAGAACGTGAAGGCAGACGCACTGTCGACACAGAGGAGAGGCCCAGCGACAACACCCCCATACTGCTGGCCTCCTGCATTGTGGCGCCGGTAGTATGGGCGATGGACGCGGATATAGAGCAGGCATTATGCACGGATCCCTCTCCACCTCAGTGTCCAGATGGGCTACAGTACGTGCCTGCTCTTATCCGTGATCGTCTGATCTACTGGGCACGCACATCACCCTCCTCTGGTCACCCAGGTATCAGTCGTACAGTGCGCTGCCTGACCGGAAAATACTGGTGGCCTACCTTGGCTAAGGACGTGAGGGTGTATGTTTCCTCCTGCTCAGTGTGCGCCCAGAGTAAGGCACCTAGGCACCTCCCAGCTGGTAAGTTACAACCTTTACCAGTTCCACAACGACCATGGTCTCACCTAAGTGTTGATTTTCTAACTGATCTTCCCCTCTCCCAAGGTAACACCACCATCCTGGTCGTTGTGGACTGCTTTTCTAAAGCCTGCCGCCTCCTTCCTCTGCCCGGTCTCCCCACTGCTCTGCAAACTGCGGAGGCCCTGTTTACACACGTCTTCCGGCACTACGGGGTACCAGAGGATATAGTGTCTGACCAAGGTCCCCAGTTCACGTCCAAGGTCTGGAAGGCGTTCATGGAACGTCTGGGGGTCTCGGTCAGCCTGACCTCTGGGTTCCACCCCGAGAGTAATGGGCAGGTGGAACGGGTAAATCAGGACGTGGGTAGGTTCCTGCGGTCCTACTGCCAGGACCGGCTGGGGGAGTGGTCGGTGTTCTTACCATGGTCAGAATATGCCCAGAACTCTCTCCGCCACTCCTCCACTAACCTAACGCCTTTCCAGTGTGTTCTAGGTTACCAACCGGTTCTGGCACCGTGGCACCAGAGCCAGACCGAGGCTCCTGCGGTGGATGACTGCGTCGTCAGAAGGCCAACGCTGACCGCCACCGCAGTGAGGCCCCCGTCTTTGTACCGAGGGATCGGGTCTGGCTCTCGACCCAGAATCTGCCCCTCCACCTGCCTTGCCGGAAGCTGAGCCCGCGTTTTGTGGGGCCGTTCAAAGTCCCGAGGAGTGTCACAAATTCCTCCTTGTTCGGGCAGGTTTCGATGTTCGGCGTCACCGGCTTACTAGCTACTGCCGATCCATTTATCATCACTCCATTTGTCTTGTCTTCAATCACACACACCTGGTCCTTATTCCCTCATTAGTCATTGTATAAGTGTTCCCTCTGCTTCCTTGTCTGTGTGGGTGATTGTTTATTGTGGAGGTTAGTGAAGCTCGGTGGAGCTTGTGTATTTTGTATCGACGGGAGTATTTCCCATGTGCCTTGTATTTTCCAGTGCGCCTGTTTTGTGCCCTGGAGTGTGTTTGACGCATTTCTGCGTAAACCTGTATTCTGCAGATTATAGCCTGTTATTCTGTGATTTACCCTCCTGCGCCTGACTCCTTCAACACCACCTCATCACACTGTCATTCTTTGTGTCATTTATATTTGTTTCATAATGTCGTTTCTTCATATTTTTATTCAGTTTAGTCACATGATTTCTCAATTTGCAGTACGGTTGTGCAGCCAGAAATATTTGCCATTCCTTTTGCCTCATCCCTCTCAACCATACAATTTTTCAATTACTCATCAATCCACTGGGATTTAACAGTTTTTACAGTCATTTTCTTAATGGGTGCATGCTTATTAGTAACTGGGATAAGCAATTTCATAAATGTGTCAAGCATTGAATGATCCCTGATGTCTATCTTCTAACAGGAGCATCTGGAACCCACTGTAACCTGTGCCTGTCTGCCTCCTGTTCCTTTGTAGCTCCTGAGGAACAAGGCCTACATGATTATCCTGATTCTCCTGCTTCGGCTCGGGGATCACTGTGTTCACTTGCTTCTCTACACTACTGGAGCAGATTATGTGTGTCCGACGGTACACTAATGGAAGCACCCACCAATGATCCCAAAGGACCAACAAGATTAGTTTTTCATTGCAAAATAATGAAAAAATATGTCTCACGAATTGGTTTCCTGAACAATATTTTCACCATTTCACCAAAATAATCAATAAAACAATGTGAAACATAACCTCAATGTGTGTTGTTGTTGCAGAACTTTGCAGGACTGTGCGGAGGTCTCTTCATTGTGTTCGGTATAGTCGGGGCTGGCTTCCTGGGTCTCTACGTTGACAAGACCAAGAAGTTCACCAAGGTCAACAGGAGCCTCTCAGCGCTGGCCTGCATTGCCTTTTCAGGTGGTGAGTCGGGGTCAAACCTCAGGGTTATGAAGTTTAGTACTTCATGAAGAGGTGTGATGATGAAACAGTGACGCTTGCTCCAAACTAAGGTTTGCAGTTTTTCTTCTTTCAAGATACCAAGCAGTTCTGTGTGTAACACCTTCTCATCCTTGTGTGTGTGTGTTTCCCCCTACCAGGTATCTCAGATGCGGAATCAGGGAATAGCCGTGGCAGTTGCTTGTTCGCTCTGCGGCTTTTTCGGCTTCTCCATTTACCCGGTTGCCATGGAGTTGTCTGTGGAGTGCTCCTACCCGGTTGGAGAGGCCACCTCAGCAGGCCTTATCTTCATATCAGGGTACATCTGTCTGATACACTGTTTCATACAGGGAGAACATAGACTAAAGAGCAAGTCTGTAAATAAAGGGCTATGTGTTAATAATCATGTGCTTGTTTTTGGTTTTTCAGACAGATCCAGTCAGTTATCTATATACTGCTTCTTCAGGGGTTGACCAAACAAATGGCCGACTCGCCCTTCTCTACGTGTTCTGTGGGAGGTGATGCGGCCTTGAGTTGGAGGAACTAACATATGTATCGGAGGGATTAAAATAATATCAATTGGTTGGTCACCATTACATTTCTGCAGGCAATTACGGCTATTGGTTGTTTTGTTAGCAGTTAAGACTTTGTATTTGTATGCAAATAGCACAAGGTGCACGTGGCAGACTGAAATGTTGGCTGAAACGGCATCCTAGACAACACATGCTTTGCCACAGCTAACAATATATGTTGCAGATGCTTCATTCCCATTGAAATTGAGGGGACAGGTGCCCCCACAAGCTATAGTTTATTTACAAATACATTCAAATATATTTTCCTCCAAAAACAAATGACGTGCCCAAGGCCAAAACACAGTGATGCTGGAGGTTATATTCAGTTAAGTTGCTGCTCTTATTTCTAAATATAACATAATGAAATCCTCTCAGGCCTTGATAAAGAAGAACAAGGCTGGATTGTTATGATCTGGTGCTTTCCTGTGGCTCCAGTGGCGTGATTCTCTCTAGAACACACACACTGTGATTAGTTGCTGGTGGAAATGGCTGAAAATAGTTTAGCTCCAGTCATTGACTTGTCTTTTTCTGTGTGCGTCTCCACAGGGCCCGTGCTGGTGCTGGCAGGCCTGTGCAGTGTCTTTACCTGCTGCTTCATTATCTTCTTCCACAGGGAGTACAGGAGACTGGACGCTGAGGCACAGGCTGGTGCAAATAAAGCTAACTCTGACATCCTGTGACAATACACCAAACTCTAACCAAAAGGAGGAACAGGCCAGGGGTTAACTGAACTGCTGTTGAGATCACTACCTCACTGGCATCGTTTCAGAAGCACGCCAAATCTCACAGGAGGCAAAGTGTGTTGACTTACAAATACATTACTTTATATTTGATGTTCTTTATAAAGATAATGTAGGTTTTTGGAATGTAACTGAATGGTCATTTCTTCCTTTGCTATACAGGTTCATTCTCTCGTCCCAAGTCAATTATTTACATTTTTACAATAAAGTGATATTTAATATTGCTTGAACGGTGGTGGTAAACAGTGATAAGTTACTCAATTTGAAAATGGGCTTTCCTCTAATACAGGTATGCACTGACTAAGATGAATAGCATCTTATGCACCTTTTGTACTGAGGCAGAGCAGAGGTCATTTCGGCTTGGTCGGTTAAATTGGACATGAAATTTATGATGCAAAAGTAATCCAATACCTGAATTGACTGGAATTTCAATGGAAGTAAACTGTGATGGTGATGGCCATGTATGCTTTTGGGGTGTAGACAGACTAGTTCATAAAAAACATTCCTGGTATTTGAATGATGGCACATTTTTGTCAGGACCACATTATTTTATACATTCAATGGTGTAAACTTGGTATTTTAAACTGCTCCTGTAAATATACTTTATGAGCCCAGTTTATCGAAAAGTTATAAGTTAAGAAAAAGAAGAGGAAGCCGTTTCAGTGTATTTATTTCACCACCGTTCCAAAGTGTTACACATTGGCCAACAGCACTGCATTCCCCTCAATAGAGCCACCATACAGACAATACAGGCAGATAACTCTACAGAGTTTTAATCATTTCCCAATTTCAATTCACATAAAATACATATAAAAAAAGTAGAGCACTCTGGATTCAGGCTCGATGGAACAAAACTGAAAGCCCATTGTCTGCCTTTTGCCCAGTTGCAACCTCAGGTTTTTAAAAGAGCCACCTTAATAGGGCTACAAGTAACGTGGTAAAAATGAACAGCAAAATGAAGGGGAAAAAAACACTACACAAAGAAATGGCATAAGACTCAAGAGACAGATTCCAACATCTGTAAAATGTAATACTTCCCCCCAAAAAACAAATCCTCCTCCAAATATGGTATTTTACAGTTAATACCGTCAATGGCACTCACACACACACAAAGTCGAAAAAAATAAAAAGTAATGAGGAAATCTTGATGCAAGAGTGTGTGTGTAGAGTATGGCGTATGTAAAGTAATGGTGTGTGTGAAGGGTCTCAGAGCTGCAGGGCACAGAACTGCTGGTACACAGCTAGGATGTGGTGGTCGAGCTCGGCGGTGAACAGCAGGTTCTCCAGGGTCCCCATGTACTGCTGGATGGTCACATGATGCTACAAAGAAAACACAAAGAACATCAGTTGAACTTGAATTACATGGAATTGAATGAACAGGGCCCGTCAGACTGAAGAACAGGGCGAGAAGGAGTAGCTAGCTAATACCATGAGGAAGATCTGCTGCAGCCTCTCGATGCAGTTCTTGTACCAGGGCGTGCTGAAGTCCACACTTCCTGTCTCGCAGCGCACCAGGTGCTCCGTCAGCATCATGATGAAGCGCTACGGGGACAGAAGAGAGGGACAAGATTTTTCTTTTAAAGATTTTAAAAGGAGGATGAAATCAGGCTGGATCCTATGGACTCATACAAAACACTGGAGTGACGTCCTGTCTACTGTCCTCGTTCCTCAGCATCACTGAAAGCGCTGAACAGTTGAAAACAGAACAGGCAACCATGTCGCCGACATAGTACGTTTAAATTCAAAGCTTTATTGACCATGCACTACCTGGAAGATGACCAGGAAGAGGTTCTTCTGCTCACTCTGGGCCGACTCCACCTTCTCCTGTAGACGCTCGATCTGCTCCTCCAGCTGACCGTCCTCATCCTCACTGTTCTTCTCCATGTCCTCCTCATCTCCACTGTCCTTCTGCTGAGGGAGGGAGGGGAAAGAGACAAACGCACAAGAGAGAGAGGGAGAGAAAGATAGAATCCTATTCGCATGTTTGGCTCCTCTCATCCCTTTAAAAAATGGCAGCAGCACTGACATGTACTGATAATGGCTATTAACAGACTAAACTAATACAAATATGTTTTAATATGTTTGAAAGGGACAGTGTGTCCATTCAAGGCCACATTCAATTTGTTGGGTTGTGATGCATGTTTAGACAGCAAAACCAGTACACAGTCTAAACAGGGCACTATACTGTACATGGGAATATTCTGCTTTGTGTAAAACTTGGAAGAGAAACTACTGGCACAATCAGTACAATGCTGTTGAGTGATTTGTGCCTTTAAAGAGTCTATAATAGGCTGTGTTTACAGCAGTGGTTGCTAGGACACCCTCCTGCTGCTTACCTTCTTATGCTGTTGCCTCTCCAGCTTATCCTTGGCCTCCTCTAGCTCTTTCTGAATCTTCTGGACGTGTTTGTTCATCTTACGGATGGTGGAGTGCAGAATCTCCCACACGTAAAACCTGCCCACAACAAGGCCAAGCATGGAGTATCCATGAGTTCATTCATTTCAAAACAGTGGATTTTTAATACTGTAGTACATAATAATAATATGCCATTTAGCAGACACTTTTATCCAAAGCGACTTACAGTCATGTGCGCATACATTTTTACGTATGGGTGGTCCCGGGGATCGAACCCCACTACCCTGGCGTTACAAGCGCCATGCTCTACCAATTGAGCTACAGAGGACCACATATTAGGATAACTGAAAACTATTTCTTGCATAATCTGATTTACAGCAAAGGAAGACACAGCAAACGTGTGTGTGCGGGCGCACACGCAGAGAGGGTTTAACACCCACCTGGTAAATTCATGAGCCATGTTTGGCGAGAAGAGCCAGTTGGCTACGGCTGCACAGTCCACAATCTGTGTACGGATCAACTTGTCCACCAGCACAGAGATCATCTGCACAAACAGAGACAGGTCGACCACACTGAGTTACACCACAGACTCACCTTTCTCCAAACACCCTATGGTCACGTCACAATTCACAAAATCTATATTAACTCTGTGGAAATGAGTGTTCTAGTGTAGGTGACTGAGGTGGGTGGTAGGTCTCACCTGTGGGTGGTTCCTCCAGACCTCATAGACCACCCGGAGGATGTGCAGCTTGCCCTCGTCACAGTCCGTCAGGGCCTTCAGAATCTCATGGAACCTGGGAGATGGAAACAGGACACTTTAGGCGTTGTACACACAGACAACACGTGCAAAATCAACAGAGGATGGATTCCTACCGTTCACTCAACTGCCTGGTATCATAGCGATGCTACACTAAGCCTCAAGACTGAACAATGCCACCCTTTTCTGTGGCACAGAGGAGGGCACGGAAAGGGAGGGTGTGGGTTGGCATAACAGGCACTCACTTGGCCAGGGCACTGAAGGAGTGGCTGAAGGACTTGGCAGCCAGATGGAGGAGAGTCTGCAGGAACACCTCTATCTTCAGGGGGTTGAAGCCCTCGCCCTCATCTGGAAACAGACAAAGGAGGAGTGAGTGAGAAATGAGTAGAACATATCCCTATGGTATACAGTACTGTAATGAGTGTATATAGGAACACTGAGAAGGTGAGTGCTTTGGGGCTAACTGACCGTCGTCATCTTCCTGGTTGGGGTTTGGCACGTCTTTGAGCACGGTGAGGATCTCCTCATTGGAGGCCCGGTTCTTGATGGCGTTGCCCACCGTTATGGCCACGGCAAAGCCTGGCAGCGCACCTGGACAAAGGCAGAGGTGTCATGTTGTATTTCTGATGGTGCTCCCGTCAAGAGTTCAACAGTAAGAAAAAGGAAGACAGTGCACACCGTATTTACTTAGATTACACTGAGTGAACTACTTTCCTGTTACAGGCTAATTACATCAGTTCCATTACAGTTTCACTGGAATAACAACACTAATGTGAATTGTTACCCCTTGGGTTTATTTGAGCTTTACCATCAAAAGGCTGTCACTTGTGACCACACTCTTACAATTCAACAGAAGAAAATAAAATGCCAGACCAATTACGAGCACATTAGAGTCATCTTAGTCCCCAGGCTATGATGCACCAACAGACAGAAGCTTACAGAAATAAATGGCCCATGGAGAGGCAGCGTACTTACTGTTGGCCTCATCTTGGTATTTGTAAAAGAAGATGGGGTCGGCTGGGATGAGGGCTGAGAAAGTGGGAGGGACAATGTCCACTATCCGCTGATGATAGGAGAGCCTGGAGGTCAAGAACAAAAGTCGATTGGTCAATTTCCAGGGACAGACTATACACATCCCTCCCTATGTATGATTTAAAACAAGCTGGGTGCAACACAGTATTAGTGGATCTGAATGAAAATACCTCATGCATTTCTCCAGAACCTCCTTGACAAACTTGGGCTTGGGCTTGTCTGCATCCAGCGCTAAACAGTCCGTCCTTTGGAGAATAACATTTATTTGTTCTAAATAGTATCTGCATTTGATACAATAAGTAGGGGTTCCAACAAAATAAAAATAAAGTATTGTAAAAGACAGCTGATCTTACCAGTCGTCCCAGCTCCATCGGAACTGAAAGTTGCTCAGATGGTGGGAGAACCAGTTGAGGAGTCGGTCTATGCAAGTAGTGTTCATGGTGTCCAGTCTCATGTACATCATCTCTGTGGCTTGGGCCAACTGGGAGGAGGCTGTTAAGGGGTTAACACTCACTGTTGATGTAAAACAAGTATCCAATCCTGACAAAAAATTACTTGTTGATTTTAAAAAGTAGGATCTCTGAAAACAGTATTTCTGCATTTTCCCATGCCATTTTGTGTACCCTGGTTTCCCACTATTCTCATATTTAGCATAGGAGAAAAAAATAATGTCTGAAGTATTCAAACAAGCATTTCTGTGATGGACTACCCTTTCAGAGTGCCCTTTACTAGAATGTGGTGGGTAGTCCCAGTAGTGGGGTGAAGGATACAACTTGGGGCAGGGAGCCTGGCTGTAGCTTGCAGAGCTCGATGAGCAGCGTGGTGTACATGACGTCGATGTGGGGGGGACAGGGCAGCTGGAAGAGCTCTCCAAAGATCACCTGGAAGAAGAGAGGGAAAGAGGAATGGAAGCGTCAACTTCGGTCCTGTTCTCCTATTGATATGAAACTCCTTGATATGAAGCAGTAATGGGCTTACCTCCACAATGTGATAGTTGAGTGGGATCTTGTTTTTCCCTGGATAGCTGAGCAACTGCGCAGCACTGAAGAAAAAAAAACGTACTTGTTTGCTCAATTACGAGTAAGAAATGACTCACTCTCACAAAAAGAGGACACCTAAACAAGTCCATTAGAAAGTACAGCAGCTCACCAGGTCTTCCTCTCTTTCCAGTGGGACTTGATGATGTTGTGAAGGTTATCCTCAATCACAAACCTCTCCACAGAGTGGCTGCCTGGCATGACAGGACCCTGTGGTCAGGGAGAGAGAGAAAGACTAGTCAGAGCATTCCAAAAGGCCACCCCATTCCCAAACGTTCCTCTTTCTCAAGGGAGTGCTACACGGTACCTCGGGGGCATCGGTGTAGTCGAACATGCGGAAGATGACGCGGGGCATGGGGTACTGGCAGTCGGGCATGTGGGCGGGCGGGGTGAAGGGTGGCAGGTTGTGCTGCAGGGCCTCACACAACACGCTGTCAAAGGCGATGTACGGCCGCAGGATGTGGCGCTCCTGCCAGCGGTCCTTCTTCAGCTTCTGGATCTGAGCCCACAGGCAGTCCAGGTACTGAGGGCGAGCGAGGAAGTGGTGACGGTTATGATGGTTATGAAAGAGGAATATAACATACATTTATATGAAAACATCTCTCCTACTTACCTCCTCTTGTGGGTGTGGCTTCTCTGCTGTCCAAACCTGAAGCATGGGGACATGAGTCTTCAGTCGCCTCCTGAAAAACCATAGATTGGTGTCACCATGACCGTCTCACCACTATTGAGTGCAGTTGACAAAGGAGTCTCGCTCAAAATACTCATACATTTCAATTGCATTACATCATGCACAGTTCCTCAACTAGGAAAGAGACAGAAAGACATGTTAATACCAAACTATAGCAGAAGAGAGGGAAAAAAGCATACTTGATGTAACCGTCAATCTGGTTTAGGAGCCTGTCCATCTCCACGTCCTTCTTCTCATAGAGTTCCTTCCCAACCCAGGGGAGACTGGAGAGTACAACATAGACAAACCAGTCCGAGCGCACCTGGGAAGAGAGAAAACAGTCAAAATGCACCAATACTAAAACTAAACTGTATACACTTGCATACAACTCAAGGGTTTAAAATGCATCAATAAGATGTTACCTGCGGCACATCTTCCTCCTGAGTGACACTAACAAAGTTCTCAAACATGGCTACCATGGAGGGGGCAGCGATCACGTGGCAGTTCACCAGGTCACAGAGGAAGCGCACCTGGAGAAAAAAGAGGGAAGCCAAGGTGTTGGAAACCATTGTTTTGCATAATGTCAAACATTATTGTAATGCATTTGTAATTACTTAGAAAGACTCTTGCTAAAATTGCCTTGGTGAGCCAGTGGACTAATTATTTTATCGCACCAAACACTTACCAGGTACAGCGCTTCGGTGTACAGGTTGGCCTTCAAGGTCTCTTTGAGTTGTCTGATCATGGCCTCCACAAACTCCCCACCAAAGTTGTAGTTCCTGGCATTGAGAAGGCCCACTAGTGTTGTGTACACGGTCAGCTTCTCGGGTAGAAGTCGAGCCCTGTCAAAACCAGACACACAATTACAGTACCAGTCAAAAGTTTGGACACACCTACTCATTCGAGGGTTTTTCTTAATTGTTACTACTTTCTACATTGTAGAATAATAGTGAATTACATTTACATGTTAGTCATTTAGCAGACGCTCTTATCCAGAGCGACTTACAGTTAGTGAGTGCATACATCAAAACTATGAAATAACACATATGGAATCATGTAGTAACCCAAAAAAAGTGTTAAACAAATCAAAATATATTTTATATTTGAGATTCTTCAAAGTAGCTTTGCACACTCTTGGCATTCTCTCAACCAGCTTCATGAGGTAGTCACCTGGAATGCATTTCAATTAACAGGTGTGCCTTCTTAAAAAGTTAATTTGTGGAATTTATTTCTTAATGCATTTGAGCCAATCAGTTGTGTTGTGACAAGGTAGGGGTGGTATACAGAAGATAGCCCTATTTGGTAAAAGACCAAGTCCATATTATGGCAAGAACATCTCAAATAAGTAAAGAGAAACGACAGTACATAATTACTACAAGACATGAAGGTCAGTCAATCTGGACAATTTCAAGAACTTTGAAAGTTTCTTCAAGTGCAGTCGCAAAAACCATCAAGCGCTATGATGAAACTGGCTCTCATGAGGAACGACACAGGAAAGGAAGACCCAGAGTTACCTCTGCTGCAGAGGATAAGTTCATTACAGTTAACTGTACCTAAGATTGCAGCCCATATAAATGCTTCAGAGTTCAAGTACCAGACACATCTCAACATCAACTGTTCAGAGGAGACAAGAGTGAATCAGGCCTTCATGGTCGAATTGCTGCAAAGAAACCACTACTAAATGACACCAATATGAAGAAGAGATTTGCTTGGGCCAAGAAACATGAGCAAATATGTCCTTTGGTCTGATGAGTCCAAATTTGAGATTTTTGTTTCCAACCACCGTGTCTTTGTGAGACGCAGAGTAGGTGAACGGATGATCTCCGCATGTGTGGTTCCCACCGTGAAGCATGGAGGAGGAGGTGTGATGGTGCTTTGCTGGTGACACTGTCAGTGATTTATTTAGAATTCAAGGCACACTTAACCAGCATGGCTACCACAAAATTCTGCAGCGATATGCCATCCCATCTGGTTTGCGCTTAGTGGGACTGTCATTTGTTTTTCAACTGGACAATGACCCAAAACACATCTCCAGGCTGTGTAAGGGCTATTTGACTAAGAAGGATAGTGATGGAGTGCTGCATCAGATGACCTGGCCTCCACAATCACCCAACCTCAACCCAATTGAGATGGTTTGGGATGAGTTGGACCACAGAGTGAAGGAAAAGCAGCCACCAAGTGCTCAGCATATGTGGGAAATCCTTCAAGACTGTTGGAAAAGCATTCCTCAAGAAGCTGGTTGAGAAAATGCCAAGAGTGTGCAAAGATGTCATCAAGGCAAAGGGTGGCTATTTGAAGAATCTAAAATCTAAAACATATTTGGATTTGTTTAACACTTTTTTTGTTACTACATGATTCCATATGTGTTATTTCATAGTTGATGTCTTCACTACTATTCTACAATGTAGAAAATAGTTTAAAAAAAATAAAAACCATTGAATGAGTAGGTGTGTCCAAACTTTGGACTGGTACTGTATAACGGTGGAACCTTTTTCTACTGTACCTATGACTGTACTAAAAGTCCTTCAAATGTATTAGAATAACTTCCAATAGCTTACACAGCACACAAAATGCGGAGGATTTTGTTTTTGTAATTGGGGAGGTCGGCTTCCAAGACACCTGCAAGACCTTCCAAGTTGCTTTCCAGGGAAGAGGTACTCTGCAAATGAAGAAATTGTTGTAGGGCAACATATCTGGTGATTTCTGGGGTCAAATCAGGCAAAAAAGTATAGTGAGTGACAAAATACACACATGGGTATCATGCAGAAAACATCCCCACACTTACTGCAAAACCCTATTACCTTTTCTCCCACTCGACATATCAGTGATTCCAGGCGATCCTCAATCTCAATGGGCTCAGACGTTCTCCTTCTTTTGTGAGACTGGCCGCCTTGAATGAGACAAACACATACAGGACAGATGATGAAACAGATACAGTCTGAGATAAATCCTTCCTTCAATTTAGTATTTTGTGCTAACTCACATATGCTTCGCTATTTAAAAACGTTAACCTTCAGTCGCGTAACAAGTTACTAGCGAGTTAATTTCACTAATCATTATTTTGAAGATCCACTGTCTGTGGCGTAAATGGCAGAGGATAGCCAGCTAGCGAGATAAACAACTTTTTGGCATCACTGGTTGCCGCCCCCAAGGCAAGGTCTGAAATAACATGAACAGTTGTTAACAACAAGAGAATAACGTTAGCTAGATATCACATTATGTTGGACAAATGTTTAACGTTATGGTAGGATATGGACGTTTTTTTGCTTCATACGATGGTGGACGAAAGGTAGTTTGCTAGGCAATTTCTAGTTAACCGGCTAAAAGCAAGGGCTATGCTAATCCGTCAGGCTAACTAGCTAGCTAATCATGGTGTGCTGGAAAACTGCCAGTGTCACATATACGTATGCACCGATACAGTCATCATAGAGCTAGCTACTAACGTTAGCTAATTGAAATGACTAGCTATAATGATTTAGCTAGCAATCAAGGTAGTTAGCTAGCATGCACACATTGACAAACAGAGCGAGCAGCATCAACTCTCGCGGGCTTCAGCAGACGCTAGCTAGCGTTAGCCTCGAATTAGCTACCTATCTAGTGACAACTTACCATCATCATCTCCGTCACTGTGCCGTCTTCTCGACATTTTATTGTTGACACCGTTGGATTAATAACTGTCTGCTGCTTCTTTTTGAATATGGCAACAATATTTTTCGAAATAAGAATCTGAGTTATAAAGCTTTGAGGTTTTCAATGGTCGCGAAAATAATAGCGGTCAGATTCAAGTGAGGCACATCCGGAGCGGAGGTTAACCAGAAGTACTTAGTTGTGTACTTTATTTGTCTTCCGTATTTCCTGTGTTTGGTTCCGTGTTTCTCATCACCGGTGTGTCCTAACGTAAGTTAGCTAGCTAGTGTTACTTTTCAGCTACATATTTGTTGGTGTTATGATAAAATGGGGTTTTAAAGTTATTTGTTTGTTTTGTTTCGTTTAATGTTTTAATAGCTGACATAATTAAAACAAAGCAGGGGGCTAGCTTCAATTGTTGTAAATAGGCTAGGTAACATTATCATTATTATCAATTTAGCAAATATCACTCTAGAAAAGGTCTAGCCACAGAAAGAAGAGGGGACATGATGACAACCGATGGTATGGCTTGCAATGAGTTAATTAACATAGATGTTGACGCCCTTGCCCCACATGATTTTAAACAAGAAAAACACCACCTTTCTGCAACTCTACGAAAGTACTACTCATTCTGTAAGAGGAGGGTGAGTGTAACAAACGAAGTTTATTTTATTGGCTTGCTAAAGTGCTGACTATTGTATGTCATAATGGAGACATATCTCTAATCTTGCAGACGTTTGGTACATTTGTGGCATCCAAAAGAGCTTCAACAACAGTTTGGAATTGCTGTGACCAGACCTTCAAGGAACTTTCTTCCATCCACAAACATGTGGCAAGGACTCATGACACTGACATTCACCAGCTTACCCAGTCCACATTTGAGGTTTTACTGAGCCAGATTGAGAAAGAAGCCACTTCACAACAACAATCAACAGAGAAAGAGCCAGTGGACATTTCCTCCTGGATACCTGACACCAGTCACATCACTGGTGACCAGCTTCACAAGTATGGGAATTCATGGGAGTTATTACATTGGACTGTTTAGTATTCTATGAAATTAATACCTTCTCATGCTCTGTTTCTTGTCATCTGTAAAGTGGCCCAGGCGAGGTTCTTCTGCACTACTGCTACTGTCAGCTGGCAGATCCACAGCTCATCTGTGCTTGGCAAAAGGCCCTTTGTGAAAAACTCCAGTTAACTGGCAAGGTAACAGAATGACAGAATCTTGTCTTATAAACAGATGGTGATGATATATATTTTTACATTCAGTTATCATACTATTTCTGCAGGTGAGGGTGGCAACAGAGGGGATCAATGGAACAGTTGGAGGCACAAAAGTGGCGACTGACTTGTACATCAAGGCAATGTGCTCCCATCCCATCTTCAAGATAATGGAAAAAGAAGACTTTAAGGTAAAACAGAGAGGCTTCAGTTTAGGGCAAGTGGAATTGCCCAAATTTATGAGAAAATCATGATGAAAGTGGCCATTTTAGGCCCTTTTTAGACCTATACATGCCTCCTGTAAGACCTTATGATCCGTGAGCCGTACGTGATACAGACATCTTGGTGTCATTTTACCAGTGTGTAGTGGAGGGTATACGCAGGTATACACCATATACCCACTTGTTTTATAATGGGGCATTGTGTATACTCACTTCTTAATCCCCACGATGAGTATCAAAGTAGTGTAGTGGAGGTATACGCTGTATCAATTAGTAAGGCTGATTGAACCGATCAGAATGTTTAGCTTAAAATGTTGAACTATTATTTCTTCATATTTAAGGTGCAGCAATGTGCACACAGTGGTAGGCCTATGTGCACATGTTCTATAATGCAATTTGTGGGTTAACACAGTACTAAAATGCACTCTGCACATGTGAGCGGTTTCATGGACAGAGATTTTTTAAATTTTTTTATTTACTTCACCTTTATTTAACCAGGTAAGCCAGTTGAGAACAAGTTCTCATTTACAACTGCGACCTGGCCAAGATAAAGCAACGCAGTGCGATTTAAAAACAACAACACAGTTACATATGGGGTAAACAAAACATAAAGTCAAAAATACAACAGAAAATATATATACAGTGTGTGCAAATGTAGCAAGGTATGGAGGTAAGGCAATAAATAGGCCATAGTACAAAATAATTACAATTTAGTATTAACACTGGAATGAGATGATGTGCAAATAGAGATATTGGGGTGCAAGTGAGCAAAATAAATAACAATATGGGGATGAGGTAGTTGGGTGGGCTAATTTCAGATGGGCTGTGTACAGGTACAGTGATCGGTAAGGTGCTCTGACAACTGATGCTTAAAGTTAGTGAGGAAGATAAGTCTCCAGCTTCAGAGATTTTTGCAGTTCGTTCCAGTCATTGGCAGCAGAGAACTGGAAGGAATGGCGGCCAAAGGAGGTGTTGGCTTTGGGGATGACCAGTGAGATATACCTGCTGGAGTGCATACTACGGGTGGGTGTTGCTATGGTGACCAATGAGCTAAGATAAGGCGGGGATTTGCCTAGCAGTGATTTTATAGATGGCCTGGAGCCAGTGGGTTTGGCGACGAATATGTAGTGAGGACCAACCAACAAGAGCGTACAGGTCACAGTAGTGGGTAGTATATGGGGCTTTGGTGACAAAACAGATGGCACTGTGATAGACTACATCCAATTTTCTGAGTAGAGTGTTGGAGGCTATTTTGTAAATGACATCGCCGAAGTCAAGGATCGGTAGGATAGTCAGTTTTACGAGGGCATGTTTGGCAGCATGAGTGAAGGAGGCTTTGTTGCGAAATAGGAAGCTGATTTTAGATTTAACTTTGGATTGGAGATGCTTAATTTGAGTGGAAGGAGAGTTTACAGTCTAACCAGACACCTAGGTATTTGTAGTTGTCCACATACTCTAGGTCAGACCCAATGAGAGTAGTGATTCTAGTCGGGTGGGCGGGTGCCAGCAGCGTTCGATTGAAGAGCATGCATTTAGTTTTACTAGTGTTTTTAAGAGCAGTTGGAGGCTACGGAAGGAGTGTTGTATGGCATTGAAGCTCGTTTGGAGGTTTGTTAACAGTGTCCAATGAAGGGCCAGATGTATACAAAATGGTGTCGTCTGCGTAGAGGTGGATCTGAGAGTCACCAGCAGCAAGAGCGACATCATTGATATACACAGAGAAAAGAGTCGGTCTGAGAATTGAACCCTGTGGCACCCCCATAGAGACTGCCATAGGTCCAGACAACAGGCCCTCCGATTTGACACATTGAACTCTATCTGAGAAGTAGTTGGTGAACCAGGCGAGGCAGTCATTTGAGAAACCAAGGCTATTTAGTCTGCCAAAAAGAATGCGGTGGTTGACAGTTGAAAGCCTTGGCCAGGTCGATGAAGACGGCTGCACAGTACTGTCTATTATCGATCACAGTTATAATATCGTTTAGGACCTTGAGCGTGGCTGAGGTGCACCCATGGCCAGCTCGGAAACCGGATTGCATAGCGGAGAAGGTACGGTGGGATTCGAAATGGTCGGAGATGGAAATATCCTTTAGAAATGTAGAAAATAATGCAACAACTATCATGGGTTGATAATATGACTGGGCATAGGCCCACCCACTTGGGAGCCAGGCCGGTCCACTGGGGAGCCAGGCCCAGCCAATCAGAATGAGTTTTTACCCACAAAAGGGCATTATTACAGACATAAATACTCCTGAGTTTCATCAGCTGTCTGGCTGGCTGGTCTCAGACGATCCTCCAGGTGAAGAAGTCTGATGTGGAGGTCCTGGGCTGGCGTGGTTACATGTGGTCTGCGGACATTGGAGGCAGCTTATGGTAGAGAAATGAACATAAAAATCTCTGGCAACAGCTCTGGTGGACATTCCTGCAGTTAGCATGCCAATTGCACGCTCCCTCAACTTGAGACATCAGTGGTATTGTGTTGTGTGACAAAACTGCACATTTTAGAGTGGCCTTTTATTGTCCCTAGCACAAGGTGCACCTGTGTAATGATCATGCTGTTTAATCAGCTTCTTGATATGCCACACCTGTCAGGTGGATAGATTATCTTGACAAAGGTTAAAATGCTCACTAACAGGGATGTAAACAAATTTGTGCACAACATTTTAGAGAAATAAGCTTTTTGTGCGTATGAAAAATGTAGGGGATTTTTTATTTCAGCTCATGAAACATGGGATCAGCACTTTGCATGTTGCCTTTATATTTTTGTTCAGTATACTTTGAAGCAAGGCAATACATTCCTCATAATATAAAGTAAATGTCCAGTTTTAAACAATTAAGGAACAGGAAAAATATAGCGACACTAATGATAGGCCTAACCGTCTTCTTGTAGATGGAAAGGTTTTCCCAAACATTTTCTCAATTAAATGTTAACTAGCTACAAAGAAGCCTATGCCTACCTGGCAGAATCAATCCAGGGGCCATTTGTTTTGCAAACTGCAACTCATGTGCTACAGAAACACCACCATCCAAGCAGTGCAAGGTGCCTGTGCACTTGAATTTATTCAACATTATAAATATCTCAAAAGTACCCTTCTTGATTTTCCTTATTTTTTTAAAACATATTGTTTGGAACAATATACTCCTCAAACACTTCAAATTTCCAGAATGGGTTCTCTGGTACTTTAATATTTGACCCATTTTATACATAGAAATGGACATGAATGAAATCCAAAAGGGTACTTTTGAGATATTATTATTATTAATATTTTCATTAAATGTTGAATAAATTAATGTGAAAATGTGTATTTCTGAATCTAGACAGATATGTTAGGAGTATAATGACACCAAGATGTTGTCTGCACCATGTACGGTTCACGGATCATAGGGTCTTACAGGAGGCATGTATAGGTCTAAAAAGGGCCTTAAATGGCCACTTTCATCATGACTTTCTCAAACTTTTTGTGATACAATTGTAAAAAGCATGTCAAACTTTCTTTCTCCCAATGAAGTTTCTATGTGAAAATTGCTAGAACAATCTGAGATACCGAAAATATATTTGGGCTGTACTGGTGTGGAATTGCCCAACTGGACCTCCGACCACAAGGCGCTACAGAGGGTAGTGCGTATGGCCCAGTACATCACTGGGGCCAAGCTTCCTGCCATCCAGGAACTCTATACCAGGCGGTGTCAGAGGAAGGCCCTAAAAATTGCCAAAGACTCCAGCCACCCTTGTCATAGACTGTTCTCTCTGCTACCGCACAGCAAGCGGTACCGGAGCGCCAAGTCTTGGTCCAAAAGGCTTCCTAACAGCTTATACACCCAAGCCATAAGACTGCTGAACAGCTAATCATGGCTACCCAGACTATTTGCTGTTTATTATCTATGCAGAGTCACCTTACCCTTACCTACATGTAGAGCGGCAGGTAGCTTAGTGGTTAAGAGCGTTGTGCCAGTAACCGAAAGGTCGCTGGTTCTAATCCCTGAGCCGACTAGGTGAAAAATCTGTCGATGTGCCCTTGAGCAAGGCACTTAACCCTAATTGCTCCTGTAAGTCGCTCTGGATAAGAGCGTCTGCTAAATGAATAAAATGTAAAATGTAATGTACATATTACCTCAATTACCTTGAATAACCTGTACCCCCGCACATTGACTTGGTACCAGTACCCTCTGTATATAGCCTCGTTATTGTTACACTCTTATTTTTTTTTTACTTTAGTTTATTTAGTAAATATTTTCTTAACTCTTTTTATTTTTCTTAAAACTGCATTGTTGGTTAAGGGCTTGTAAGTAAGCATTTTACGGTAAGGTCTGCACCTGTTGTATTCGGCACATGTGACATAACGTTTGATTTGGATTTGTTGTCCTTGTGATCCATTAACTACTGTTTTCAATGCTCAACATGTCTTTCTGTGTCTTCTTAGACCAGCAATGGGGGCGCAGAGTGTTTTTGTGACCTGAGGGTTGGAGTCTACAAGGAAATAGTGCCAATGGGAGTGGACCCTGATGTCCTCTCCTACAGACTAGCAGGTAAACAAAATGTGTGTCTCGTGTACGTCTGCGTTGCATATGCTATTTTACATAATGGAACCAGTACGCGGTTATGGTTGAATATGGCCCCGAGTTAAGCCTCTTTTTACCACTTAGGTACTCACTTGGAACCTGAAGAATTCCACAAAGAAGTGGAGGCTCTTTTGTCGAAAGGGGACTCAAGAAATGATACAATACTGCTGGACTGCCGGAACTTCTACGAGAGTAAAATTGTAAGTATTGCATTTGACTGCATATGTTCGTATCCCACTTTTTTCTTTATGGATATTTTTTATTTATTATATAGAGTAATAAAAATAATGCCAGGTTAAATATGTTTTTGCTTTCAGGGGCAGTTCAGCCAATGTTTGGCCCCTAACATCCGAAAATTCAGTTATTTCCCCGATTACGTTGACCAGAACCTTGACCTCTTTCGAGACAAGAAGGTCCTTATGTACTGTACCGGCGGCATTCGCTGTGAACGCGGCTCAGCCTATCTCCGCTCAAAGGTAAGCCTACCTTTCAGGTTTTGCACAGTGACAGTATATCATTGAAACATGTCAAACACGCTTCATTCAACCAAAAAGCTCAACCTAAACAAACAGTGTGTATGTTTCTTTCCTACTTCCAGGATGTGTGTCAAGAAGTTTATCAGCTGAAAGGTGGCATTCATAAGTACCTGCAACAATTCCCTGAGGGCTTCTATCGCGGCAAACTGTTTGTGTTTGACGAGCGCTATGCAATCTCCTCCAACAGTGACATCATCGCAGGTCTGTGTTAACTGTGAATTGCCCTGAAGACTTTACGATCATCACAATGCTTTTTTATGTAAGCAGTAGCAAACCCAGCATTCCAACATATGGTTCACCATTCCTGTTAGAACGAGAGACCAGGACCCAGTTTCCCGATAGCATTTAGGCTTACCAGTGTTTTAATGATGCATCTTTCCTACAACAGCCGAAGATGTAACATGCGTTTCCCAAAACACCATGCAGAGAGAATGTTCGCTAAGTGCTTTGTTGAGGCATGTGTCGATACTGATAGGATCAAAAGAAAGGAAGCACTGCTCTCGGATCAGCGTTCTCCCTTTCCAATCTTACCTTAACATTAGAATTATTCCACAATACTGACGACGGATTAGCTCCTAGAGCGATATCATCACCTTTGGCTACAAAAATTGAACCGGCTAACTCTAATGCTTACACTATAATAATGCACTAAATCAATATTTGGCACATCATTGCGCACATTACACATGAAATATATTGAGGCAAAAATCACAGACAGTAGTGCACAAATGGCTAAATAAAACCCAATTGAATGAACATGAAATTGATTTTAATATAATTCAATATATAGGCCTATGTAGCCTAGACTGTATTTATATTTTAATACAGTCATCTCGGTTTTCATTTGAAGCCTCTATATCCTTCTCTTGTTATGTAAAGAAATGGGGAACTTTGTATTTGTAGTCACGGTCACATTTGTTCTGAAGTTATTGGCAGTCACAGAAAGACAGATGAACATCTTGATTTTGTGTTTAGCAGAAATCTTCTGTGTATAAAGTGATGTGGAAGGGCAAAAAAACATGTAATGACGTACTTAACTGTTCTATGAGTGGTCTGAGGCAGTCGTTAAATAACAAGCTTTTTCAAGAGCAACTTTAGTAACGATGGTTTTGGGAAACAGCTCTGAGATTTAACAATGCTCCTACGAAGGTTCAAAAGATGCTTTTGGGAAACTGGGCCCTGTTCATCAACATTCCTCTCCCCTTCCTCTGTGTGCAGAGTGTAGGTACTGCAGTTCTCCGTGGGACCAGTACCAGCTGTGCTCCACCCACTTCTGCTGCCAGCTGGTCCTTTCCTGCTCTGCCTGCAGACAGGGGGGCCACACCGCCTGCTGCCCCATCTGCCAGACAAAGGGCCAGGGAGAAGAGCCCTCTGCCACACCTCCACAGAGAGAGGAGTGCGAGTGCACAGCAGGGCGCCCTAGGATCCCCCAGGATGCATTGTGATGTGACTTCAACAGTTTTAAAACGTTCAACAGAGCTAAGCAGAGACCTTACCTGGAGCTTTACCCAATCATGTTTTTTAGATGGACAATCCTGATTCAAATGTGATTGTGGTGACAATCGGCTTGTGCCTATTTTAATTAAATAAATCCTCCTCAACAGATCTGTTATTTTACGAGTTTGCCTTTAATTACTCATCATCATGTGTAAAAAATGCACTAACATTTCACACTAGATATTACATGTGACATCAGAGGCATCATATGTCCGTGATATCATTTACGTTTAAGTGATTTAGCAGACGCTCTTATCCAGAGCGACTTACAAATTGGTGCATTCAATTTAGGATAGCCAGTGGGACAACCACCACTGGGGGGGGGGGGGTTGTAGAAGAATTACCTTGTTTATTGTTCAATACAAATAAAATAAACATTTATATTCAATATTTAGAACAACAAAAAAATAGGTGCTGATTTGGCTAGATAAATACTCTGTTTTTTCAACACTGATCCCTGATCCGTCTCTTGCACTTCTGCCTACTGACAGGTGGCGCCGTTATGCCAGCTTTAGTCACATAGAAACGGCAGCTTCACATAAGTGGATGAACCTCATCGTCTTTGCTAGACAGCCATCGGAGTAGGGGGCACACAAAATCCTCAGCCAACACCTAGCTAGCTAACGGGAATATTGCCTTGGTGACAACCTTTCATGTGTCTTTGTCACCCTGTGCATTCGTGTTGATAAAGGACAGTGGGACCAAGAGATGTCTGCGCCGGGTTTTACGAACCTGAACACCCCTGTCGGTTACAGCATGAACTCTACGCCGAATGGTGGAGCAGCACCCCCCTATCAGAATGGTAAAACAGGCCGTGGAGATACGGCCGTTAGCTAAACTAGCCAGTACCAGTGTGGTTGAAATAGCTAGCTAATGTGGCTGTGTGAATGGGTGTTGCTTGGCTACATATTGCGTCTTGTAATTAGCTTAGCTAACTAACTTACGTAAGCTATAACGGTATTAGCTACTAAAAAACGGACAATTGTCCGTTTAACTAGCAGTAACGTTAGCTAGAAACGGCTAGCAAACCGTTAGCCAGCTACTGTAGCTAGCTTGCTAGCTAACGTCAAAGAGAAAGCTAAACTTTCTAGCTAACGTTACCTAACATCCATTCAAGCAACTAACCAGCTAGTTAGTTAGCAAGCTATCTTGAACGACCACATCACTGATGTATTATTTGTGGTAATATTGGTTATGTTCACAAATGGATGTTGCCAGCAATTATATATCTTTGCTTATTGTACTAACGCAGCCAGGGTCCATTGAGGGGAGGAACCTTTAGGCTAGCTAGCGAGGGTATTGACATATGTCATTACTGGTAGGACAATACACCGGCAGCTAGCTAGCGAAATGATTTTACTGTTGGTTTGAATAAGTCAGTAACTGCTTAGCTGACATTGACATGTTTGATCCCTTCTATAGAATATTTAGTATGTAGGTAGGTAATACTTTTGATAATGGTAGATTACACATTGATGATCATCAATCCTTGGCAAAAATATGCATCAACAATATCTAAATTGTCTGCAACCTCCTTTTTTATTCTAACATGAATCCTGGTTTTGCTAACCTCAACTGTCATTCTCTACAGGTCCAGTAGGACAGACCTACCCATCCACATATCCTTCGCCGGGGTACTATGACGCCGGGCCTCAACAGCAGGGCTACCCAACCATTTCAGGACACTGTGCCCCTGCCCCCAACAAATCTCCCATTATGAACAATGACCACAGTGCTTACTACCACCACAACAGCCACCAGCAGCCCACTGCTGCACCTACTGTAGCCCCCTCTGCATTCGGAGCAACCCAAGGCTCCTATCCTCCTCCTCAGCCCTATGGCACCCCTACCACCCTTCCCACCTCAGCTGCCCCTCCAAACCCCCAACATGCACCTCCATTCCAACAACCAACCCCCTACGCACCGCATGGGGCCTACTATGGACAGCAGCAGTACCCCACGACCCCCAGCTGCCCAGGCGCTCCCCTGTACCCCATTATCTCGTACCCCTCTGCGCCGGGAAGCAGTCAGTACGGCACATTGTGTTCCTCCCAGGCTCCCACCGGCCCAGGAGCCGTTTCCAACCAGATAGGCGCCCCCCTCCACCAGTGTCCCCCAGGAAATGGCACCAGTCACCTAGCATCTACTGCAGTGGTTCCCTCTGGGTATAGCATGGCTCCACCCGGCCAACCAGCCACAGTCAATGGCCAGGTTAATGCAGGTACAGTCGACTCCTCTGCACTGTTGTGATTGTCCATACATAATCGATTTTGAGTCCCCTTTACTTTTAAATTTATGTGATGACAATATTTGATATACTTGCCTCTGCCTTAATTGTCATCTTCTCCCCAGTCCAAGCCTCAGTCCTCCAGCACTATGACCAAAGCCACCAGGCAGCCATGGCACATGACCACTACGGAGGAGGAGTCACACACAACACCGGGGGTGCTGACAGAGACAGACCACCTTCAGGAGCCCCTTCTACTTCAGTCCATTCCTCCCCGGGGCATCAGCAAGGTAAATGAGGAGAGAAGAGAGGCTTTTAAACTTTTGAATTAGCCTCCATATCTCTGCCGTAGCTCTGTATTTGGTCATCAGCATTGAAAGTCCTCAAAGGCATGCCCATGTCTGCTTAAGAGGATCCTGCCAGGGCTTTGACAGTCATGGAATTTTGGATGATGGTAAATGACCACAGTCTCCGTTTAATCTTTTTTCTATATATATATATACAGTGAGGGAAAACAGTATTTGATCCCCTGCTGATTTTGTACGTTTGCCCACTGACAAAGAAATGATCAGTCTATAATTTTAATGGTAGGTTTATTTGAACAGTGAGAGACAGAATAACAACAAAAAAATCCAGAAAAACGCATGTCAAAAATGTTATAAATTGATTTGCATTTTTATGAGGGAAATAAGTATTTGACCCCCTCTCAATCAGAAAGATTTCTGGCTCCCAGGTGTCTTTTATACAGGTAACGAGCTGAGATTAGGAGCACACTCTTAAAGAGAGTGCTCCTAATCTCATTTTGTTACCTGTATAAAAGACACCTGTCCACAGAAGCAATCAATCAATCAGATTCCAAACTCTCCACCATGGCCAAGGAGCTCTCCAAGGATGTCAGGGACAAGATTGTAGACCTCCACAAGGCTGGAATGGGCTACAAGACCATCGCCAAGCAGCTTCGTGAGAAGGTGACAACAGTTGGTGCGATTATTCGCAAATGGAAGAAACACAAAATAACTGTCAATCTCCCTCGACCATAGTCACCAAGAAAACAATGGTAACACACTACACTGTGAAGGACTGAAATCCTGCAGCGTCCGCAAGGTCCCCCTGCTCAAGAAAGCACATATACAGGGCCGTCTGAAGTTTGCCAATGAACATCTGAATGATTCAGAGGAGAACTGGGTGAAAGTGTTGTGGTCAGATGAGACCAAAATGGAGCTCTTTGGCATCAACTCAACTCGCCGTGTTTGGAGGAGGAGGAATGCTGCCTATGACCCCAAGAACACCATCCCCACCGTCAAACATGGAGGTGGAAACATTATGCTTTCGGGGTGTTTTTCTGCTAAGGGGACAGGACAACTTCACCGCATCAAAGGGACGATGGACGGGGCCATGTACCGTCAAATCTTGGGTGAGAACCTCCTTCCCTCAGCCAGGGCATTGAAAATGGGTCGTGGATGGGTATTTCAGCATGACAATGACCCAAAACACACGGCCAAGGCAACAAAGGAGTGGCTTAAGAAGAAGCACATTAAGGTCCTGGAGTGGCCTAGCCAGTCTCCAGACCTTAATCCCATAGAAAATCTGTGGAGGGAGCTGAAGGTTTCGAGTTGCCAAACGTCAGGCTCGAAACCTTAATGACTTGGAGAAGATCTGCAAAGAGGAGTGGGACAAAATCCCTCCTGAGATGTGTGCAAACCTGGTGGCCAACTACAAGAAACGTCTGACCTCTGTGATTGCCAACAAGGGTTTTGCCACCAAGTACTAAGTCATGTTTTGCAGAGGGGTCAAATACTTATTTCCCTCATTTAAAATGTAAATCAATTTATAACATTTTTTTACATGCGTTTTGATGGATTTTTTTGTTGTTATTCTGTCTCTCACTGTTCAAATAAACCTACCATTAAAATTATATACTGATCATGTCTATGTCAGTGGGCAAACGTACAAAATCAGCAGGGGATCAAATACTTTTTTCCCTCACTCTATATATATATAATTTTTATTTTTTTACAGTTATGACTGTTACTTTATTTTCATGACGGTCTTCATCCATAACCGTCAGTTATACGGTAATTTTACCTGCCCTAGTTCCTGCATTTTTACATTTATGTGGTTCTCCGTCCTCACCTTGAGGACCTTCATTAAATGATTGATGAAGGGATCTGTATTTCATCATTCAAACTCACTTCTTCTAGGCTTAGTCTAACTAAGTGAATTTTGTTCCTGTCCTGTCTCGCTCTCTGTTTTCTCTTCTCAATAGCTACAATCCTACCATTTTCTTTTTTTTGTCTCAATTTGGTAGAAGCTAGTGAGAAGTGATGTTTTGACAGGCGAATCGCAAGCATCCTCACCACACAGACACAGATTTCTTAGACTCCCAGTCCTCTGGCTCCATCCTCGTCCCCTCCACATAGTTGACGGTTCTTCTGTTTTGTACCCTCTCCCACCCCTCTACAGGCGTGCACTACGGATATGTAGGCAATAGTGGAGCTAGCTCTGCCAACGCCTCTACCAACGCTGCCCCCTTGTCATCCAGTTCCGATGAGGATGTTGATGAGGAGGAGGATGAGGAAGCAGGTCTGCTTATAGCTTTTATTCCCATCCCTCCCCCACCCGCCCGCCCATCATCTCAACCTAACTCCAATAACCACCCAACGAACCCGACCCTCACATCAACCCATGCTGCACTTACTTTCCTTTCAACCCCAGGCACTTTGCATTCATACTCATGTCTCAAAGCCACCTCTGACCATCTCTAGCAGCTTGCCTGCCCCCAACTTGCAGATCCATCTTTCTCTGCTGCCCATCTGACGGCCTCCACGCATTCAACATCTACGCCATATCTTCTCCCAACATTATCAGTGTTCCCAATAAATATTTGATGTTAGTGATGTGAGCTCGTTGTAACTAAAATCACTGAAGCATGTCAGTCAGAATGGTGTGAAGCATCTGATCAGTTAACCTCTTCTTGATCAAGTTAGGATAAGCCTTTATTAAACCTAATTCGAAACCATCAGTTAAAAAATGTGAGTAGGGTGTAGTGTTTGAGAGTAAATGAGCTGTTTTAGAATATGTTAGTCTTCTTGACATGCAGGCTACGCACTCGTTCTTGTGCCATTCATGTCCTTAGTTTTCCTCTCAGCTCTCACCAACTAACCATTTGGGAATGTCTTGTCTGCATTTCAATTACAGGCAGTGATCCAACTGGTTTGAATAAAAAGCTTCTGATTTCTTCCCATTGGAATTTCTAAATTATATCCTCCTGAAAAAAAATAGATTTTTGCATGATTGGTTTTGCATTTAGATAAGCAAAATAATTGTTTAGAGCAGACATACAGTACCAGTCAAAAGTTTGGACACACCTACTCATATTTTTACTATTTTCTACATTGTAGAATAATAGTGAAGACCTATAAACTATGAAATAACACATATGGAATCATGTAGTAACCAAAAAAGTGTTAAACAAATCAAAATATATTTTATATTTGAGATTCTTCAAAGTAGCCACCCTTTGCCTTGATGACAGCTTTGCACACTCTTGGCATTCTCTCAACCATCTTCATGAGGTAGTCACCTGGAATGCATTTCAATTAACAGGTGTGCCTTGTTAAAAGTTAATTTGTGGAATTTAATGCGTTTGAGCCAATCAGTTGTGTTGTGACAAGGTACGGGTGGTATACAGAAGATAGCCCTATTTGGTAAAAGACCAAGTCCATATTATGGCAAGAACAGCTCAAATAAGCAAAGAGAAACGACAGTCCATCATTACTTTAAGACATGAAGGTCTGTCAACCCAGAACATTTCAAGAACTTTTAAAGTTTCTTCAACTGCAGTCGCAAAAACCATCAAGCGCTATGATGAAACTGGCTCTCATGAGGACCGCCAGAGGAAAGGAAGAGTAAATGCTTCACAGAGTTCAAGTAACAGACACATCTCAACATCAACTGTTCAGAGGAGACTGCGTGAATCAGGCCTTCATGGTCGAATTGCTGCAAAGAAACCACTACTAAAGGACACCAATATGAAGAAGAGACTTGCTTGGGCCAAGAAAAACGAGCAATGGACATTAGATTGGTGGAAATCTGTCCTTTAGTCTGATGAGGCCAAATTTGAGATTTTTGGTTCCAACCGCTGTGTCTTTGTGAGACACGGAGTAGGTGAACGGATGATCTCCGCATGTGTGGTTCCCACCGTGAAGCATGGAGGAGGTGGTGTGGGTGTGCTTTGCTGGTGACACTGTCAGTGATTTATTTAGAATTCAAGGCACACTTAACCAGCATTACTACCACAGCATTCTGCAGCGATACACCATCCCATCTGGTTTGCACTTGGTGGGACTATCATTTGTTTTTCAACAGGACAATGACCCAAAACACACCTCCAGGCTGTGTAAGGGTTTTTTGACCAAGAAGGAGAGTGATGGAGTGCTGCATCAGATTACCTGTCCTCCATAATCACCCGACCTCAACCCAATTGAGATGGTTTGGGATGAGTTGGACCACAGAGTGAAGGAAAAGCAGCCAACAAGTGCTCAGCATATGTGAGAATGCCAAGAGTGTGCAAAGCTGTCATCAAGGCAAAGAGTGGCTACTTTGAAGAATCTCAAATATAAAATATATTTTGATTTGTTTAACACATTTTTGGTTACTACATGATTCCATATGTGTTATTTCATAGTTTTGATGTCTTCACTATTATTATACAATGTAGAAAATAGTAAAAAATAAAGAAAAACCCTTGAATGAGTAGGTGTATCCAAACTGTTGACTGGTAGTGTAATTTAACATAATTTTCGATAGATCCCTATCTGGGCCAGTCAATAGCCTACACTTTGTTTGGAACCTGAAATCTTAGCCACTTCCATAGTTATGCTATCCTGATTGATAATGATATTATTCATACTACATTTCACATTTTGTTATCAGCATACATGCAGTGTTTCAATGACAAGGTGTTGATGAGTGTCCCAGGGGTGCTGGTGCGTCCCACCCTTGGGTAGTGTGTTATTGTCTAGAGGTTAACAGCTTTTTATATATAGCAGGTCCCCTGTTACCACGGGCCAGCAGGCTCTCTGCTGCTCACTGGTCTCCAATGGGAAAAGGGTAGGAGCTGCGGCATGTCAGCACTAGTAGCTAACACTCATTAGCACCTTGGCTAATTTAAGTGGGGAAAGTGTGTAACTCTTTACCCTCTGCCCTTGCACTCTAAACGCCCTCTGTCATTTTCACACACATTTTTTGTCACAGATGTTTCTCTTTGTTTGTCCTAGTTCTTCTCGGGTGGTTTCTTATTCCCTGCAAAGCTGGCCACTCATCATTCAGTCGCTCTCCATTGCTTGGCCATCGTTTTGTTTAGGCCTACTTCTTTTGATTTTTTTGTGTCATTATAATATGTCTAATTATCTGAATTCAGATGTGTGAGGAGGGCTTGTCAGTTGTCAGTCATAATACATGTTTCCCCAGGCCCAGGTTCTTTAATATCTAGAGCACTTAATCCACTGGGGTGGCAGGCAGATTTAGCTGCCTGGGATAATTGGAGCTCATCCAATGAGGCAGCGCTATCTTGGTTCAGTGTCACAGCCCTCCATTTTGCCCAATTGGATTAATCGACTCGTTCAGAACCTGCTTCCAGTGCGTGGGTGTGGGTTGCAAGACTTAAAATGCCTTCTCCCAGAGATCTGGAAGGGAAGGCTGGATGTACACAGCCTAGAGAGATGATGATGATGATGACTGCTGCCTGTCTATGGCTTCACCTCCTATTTTCCTATTTCAGCAGCATCACATTCCTCCTGCCCTGCTTACACACGCCTAACGTCCATCTTTCATGTCATTTTTATCCCGCCAGCATGTGAGTTGTAATATATATTTTTCCTTCTCCCCCTCGTCCTTCTCTCCATCTCTTCCTTCTCTCCCCATCTTCCTTTCCCCCGCCCTCTTCCTTTCCCCCGCCCTCAGGCGGTGATAGTTCCTCAACTACCACCGGCAGTGTGTCCCCGGTGCCCAACAGCTACGACTCCCTGGAAGGCGGCAGCTACCCAGGTACATACTGTACTCAGCTCTTAAAAATCCAGCGCTACATTGAGGAGACATTTGAAACATTTGACACAATTGAACGTTTCTTCTGCCACATTTCTCTCCGCTCAACCACATCCCCAATTGCACTAAGTGGGCAGGCAGTTATCCATTGGTACAATCAACCCTAATGTTTCTCACTCTTTTTCTAGAGTCCTCCATTCCTCCCTCAGCCGACATTACCAAACAGGCCCCGCCCTTTGGCTATGGCTACCCCAGCATGCAGCCAGCCTATCAGCAGAGGCCGTCCCCCAGGACAGACTCCTCTCCCTCCCACGGCGGGTACAACCAAACTGGCTACCAGCATTTGTCACAGGTAAGTTGTTCTGGTACAACCCACCTGGTTGTGTATGACTAAAAGAGAAGATATATTCCTTATTCTAATATGGTCCCTCATGAAATACATGAAAAGGAGTTGGCCTACTAAGTCAAAAGGAGTTGGCCTACTAAGTCAAAAGGAGTTGGCCTACTAAGTCAAAAAGGAGTTGGCCTACTAAGTCAAAAAGGAGTTGGCCTACTAAGTCAAAAAGGAGTTGGCCTACTAAGTCAAAAAGGAGTTGGCCTACTAAGTAAAAAGGAGTTGGCCTACTAAGTCACTGCATGTCAATCCATTTCTCTGGGGTCATATTAGTGTTGTGGACATCGGTTCCTTTCTATCATGTTCATCTCTTCCCCACACCTGACCCTTGTGGTAATGATCTACCGATCTCTAGTGACTGTTTGACTAACTGCCTCCTGTTTGTCCATGCAGCCCTTCCCTAACATGTGCCAGCTGTCTGCGGCCCTGGGGGGGCTGAGCGGTGTGCCAGAGCTGGAGGTGGAGGCGCTGCGGCCCGTGAACCTGCTGCAGGAGAGGAACCTTCTACCCCACCGGCCCCTGGATGCCCCTGAACCCAACCTCAACGCTGACCTCAAGAAGGCCAACTGCAGCCCGGAGTAAGGGGGAGGGGAAGTTTGAGGATAATCTGGTATCTGAACACAACACTAACAGACAATATGCAGCATAAACCGAAACACTAGGAATGACAAGTGCGATCCCAAGTTTATTGATAGACTCAAGCAAAACACAAATTGGAAACCTTGTGGATATCAAACGTACTTCTGCTCTATCTCCACACTGCATTGTTCCTCCATAGTCTCCTCTCACTCAATGAAACATATTAGCTCATGCCTGACAAAGCTGTGCTAAACGCTCTTCTCTCTCCCCTCCACAGCACGTTCAGGTGTACCCTGAACAACATCCCCCAGACCCAGGCCCTGCTGAATAAAGCCCGGCTGCCCCTGGGCCTGCTCCTGCACCCCTTCAGAGACCTCGCAGTAAGAAGACACCCAACCCTAATACAACCTGGGCCCTGTCCACAAACATCCCCTAGCCCCTAACTCATATGTACTGGTGTAGATCTGAGAGGATTGGATAGGTGTAAGCAACTGACATTTCAGGGAGGTACCAACTTAGAAGGGCAATTGAATTGAAACGCTACATTGAACATAGCACAAATGTTTTGTTGTGGAATTGAGTGAATATCCTAGAATAAAACACTTCAGTGGTTATTTATATTGACTGTGGTGTTCAGTGCCCCTAAATAACACCCTGTTGACCTGAGTTCAGAAACAGAACAGCAGGAGGCAAGGCAGGATGAGCTGGAGGGTGAGGAGGTGCAAAAAGCCATGATTTTAGGTTCAGTGAAAGTGTCAAGTGCAAGGTGCTAAAAGTACAAAAAGCAGACTGTTGATATATGGGCTTTACAGAAAGGAGTCCACTCCTACAGATGCATATTGCAGACGCAGGTTCGATCAAATGTAGAACACATTTTCATGAATAACTTATTGAGTAACAAACCACAAATCAACGGTCATCTTCATCACATAATCTTTCTTTCTCTCTATCCATAGCAACTCCCAGTGATCACATCCAACACCATAGTGAGATGTCGCTCCTGTCGTACCTACATTAACCCCTTTGTCTCCTTCCTGGACCAGAGGAGATGGAAATGCAACCTCTGCTTTAGGGTCAACGATGGTACGGATCCCTCTATTAAATATGTGTACTTAGGGCAGCACTGTCCAAATGATAGATGTTAAATAGCATCTGCTAAATTACTTGAATGTACATATTCTCCCCCTCACAGTTCCTGATGAGTTCATGTACAATCCGGTGACCCGCTCCTATGGAGAGCCCCACAAGAGGCCAGAGGTGCAGAACTCCACCGTGGAGTTCATAGCCTCTTCAGATTACATGGTGAGTGATTTTTAGATCAGTGTTCATTCATCCAGAAACAGTTTGCCCTCAATCCTCTAGAGGGCAGGTCTCCATCAGATACTGTGATTTCCAAAATCAGACTGTCAGTCTGCAGATGTGAACTGGTTGAATGTTTTGAGTAAAGTATGTGTATGGGTGTTGTCCCCAGCTGCGGCCCCCTCAGCCTGCAGTGTACCTGTTTGTGCTGGATGTGTCTCACAACGCGGTGGATGCAGGCTACCTGAACGTCTTCTGTCAGACCTTACTGGAAAACCTGGACAAGTGAGTAGCTTCGCTCCTGCATTCTGCTTTAGTAGTTAAGTCCGTCACCATTTATACACATGGTGAACAATACGATTTGGTCAAATACGATTTTAATCGAACAGTTCAACAGGGAGCAAACCATCTGAAGTGTATATACTTGAACTATAAAGTAAAGAAAGATGTATCGGTTTTCTTTCTTGCCAGGAAAAAATAAAAGAGAAACATTAAATACTTTAGCAGGACTGTCCTTCCTGTTTTTCCCAGGAAATTATCCTGTTCTTCGTCGTAACTATTCAAAACTAGCTCTGACGAAGGTTCACTGCTGGTTCCAATGTCTGGAAAATCTCAGTCACGTCAACTTCAACTCCATAATCCCACTTTTTGATGTGAAAAGAGTTCACCAGAACACACTCACACACATCTGGTATCTCTCAAACCAGAGAGGTATTCTGCCATTTCCTGACCTGTTCCGTTGTACAGTGCTATTATATGCCGCGGCTAACTCTCCAGGGGGGACTGTTCTGTGTCTCAGGATGCCCGGGGACACGCGCACCCGAGTGGGCTTCATCACCTTCAACAGCACCATCCAGTTCTACAACCTCCACGAGAGCCTCTCACAGCCCCAGATGCTGGTAGTCTCCGACATCGACGGTGTGTGTTCTTTCAGTCAGCTCCCCTCATCCACCTTCAGGTCCACTACCTAAACATCCCCAGCCTGGGTGCCAGTCGGTTTTTGTGCTCTAGCCAACATGTCATTGTCTTGCCAAACAGCTCTTGGCAAGGCAACGGCGTTGTTGACTGCGGACTGACTACACCCCCTTCTCCCTCAAACCGACATGTCACTTATTCACTAATGGTAGAAATAGTGTGTACTGTAGAGATGTAATGACTTATCCTTCTGCTGGTGAATATTGGCATTGCTCCAAGTGAAATATCCCAGGACATTGAATGTGAGCTGTGATGATACAGTAAAGGATTCCGTCTTCGTTTTGTTTTTGTAGATATCTTCATTCCAACCCACGACAGTCTACTGGTGAACCTGAAGGAAAGCAGAGCGGTAAAGGTTTTTATTTGACTCAGAATGTGTGGAACTATTTGTGTTTACCAGTGTCATCACAGGCTGGTTATCTTGACTGGAGGGTGAGAGTCTTTGTGTGTTTTTGACCCTGTGTGGTTGCTTAAGTGTGATAGTCCGTTTTCTTCTGATGCTGGTGTGTGTGTGCACCTTTAGTCATTTTGACTGCTCTCTCTTTCTCTCCCTCTGATCTCTCTCTCTCTTTCTCTCCCTCTGATCTCTCTCACCCCCCCCCCCCCCCCCCTCCTCCTCCCAGCTGGTGAGGGTCCTGTTGACCTCCCTACCCAGCATGTTTAGCCAGACCAGGGAGACCCACAGTGCCCTGGGCCCAGCGCTGCAGGCTGCCTACAAGCTCATGTCCTCCACGGGGGGCCGCGTCTCCGTGTTCCAGACCCAGCTACCCACGCTGGGCGCCGGCCTGCTGCAGTCCCGGGAGGACCCCAACCAGAGGTCCAGCAACAAGGTATGAGTGCTGAGTCGCACACACACATATACACACTGTCAGACCATATGGTTCTGTAATGTAAGGTTCAGTTGTCTTAAGAAGTGTGTTCTGCATGTTATGTTGTGACAGGGGGTCCAACACCTGGGCCCAGCCACAGACTTCTACAAGAAGCTGGCCCTGGACTGTTCTGGCCAGCAGATAGGAGTGGACCTCTTCCTCCTCAGCTCCCAGTACTCTGACCTGGCCTCAATAGGTAAGATGTGATCGTCCATTCCTTAGATGATATAATAGACAGGTTACTGTTTAGGAAAATTTTAAAAGTTGAGAAAGATTGCTCCGGAGTGGCGCAGCGGTCTAAGGCACTGCAGTGCTTGAGGCGTCACTACAGATCCGGGTTCGATCCCGGGCTGTGTCGCAGCCAGCCGCGACAGGGAGACGCACAGGTGGCCCAGCGTCGTCCGGGTTAGAGGAGGGTTTGGCCGGCCGGGATGTCCTTGTCCCATCACGCTCTAGCGACTCCTGTGGCGGGCCGGGCTCAGGCACGCTGACACGGTCGCCAGTTGTACAGTGTTTCCTCTGACACATTGGTGCGGCTGGCTTCCGGGTTAAGCGAGCAGTGTGTCAAGAAGCAGTGCGGCTTGGCAGGGTCGTGTTTCGGAAGGACGCATGGCTCTCCGTACGGGAGTTACAGCGATGGGACAAGACTGTAACTACCAATTGGATATCACGAAATTCGGGTAAAAATAAATACAAATAAACAGTACAAAAGTTGAGAAAGAGACTGCCGTCTTAAAGATAATGGATTTGGCAAAATAGAATATATCAGTCATTAGAGTAAACCTAAGTCTAAATACAGCATCCTATTTCTCTCTCCTCGGTCCAGCGTGTGTGTCTAAGTACTCAGCGGGTAGTATCTTCTACTATCCCTCGTTGCACCATGTTCACAACCCGGCCCAGCTGGACAAGTTCCAGAAGGATCTGGAGCGCTACCTCACCAGGAAGATCGGTTTCGAGGCTGTCATGAGGATACGCTGCACCAAAGGTAGGGCTCAAAGGTTTTGGACAAGTGTGTAGTCTGCCTCCCTAGATACTGGACTAGGGTCTATTTTGTTCATTTTGTCTTCAAATGGTTATGATTTTGCAAGGGTAAGCTACTCCTAGATATTTCATTTTGTATTGTCAAAGTAATTTTTTTTCTTTTTCTGAAAGGTGCTGTTGTCACTCACCAAACAGTATACATTTCATGACAATTTCTAGATATATGTAACGGTTATCATTTCTAAGTATGTCTGTCTCCTTGGTCGACAGGCTTGTCCATCCACACGTTCCATGGGAACTTCTTTGTGCGCTCGACGGACCTGCTGTCCCTGGCCAACGTCAACCCAGACTCGGGCTTCGCCGTGCAGATGTCTATAGAGGACAGCCTGGCCGACACCTCACTGGCCTGCTTCCAGGCTGCGCTGCTGTACACCTCCAGCAAAGGTACACACACACACACACACACACACAGTGTCATCTCTTAAACACCATCTCACCGTTTCATTTATTGTGGAAATATTTTCTTGAAATGTAGAGAAGTCATTCCACCTTTTACTTAAATACATAATGAATAATTAGTCCTAGTTCTAGTACAAAGTTATTTTAATATAATCTAACAAAGATGAATGAATCTACCCTCATCTCTCATTCTTTCTCTCCCCCTCCCTCCATCCTCCTAGGGAAGAGGCGGATCAGGGTTCATACTCTGTGTCTTCCAGTGGTCAGCCAGCTGAGTGATGTATATGCCGGGGCAGACGTTCAGGCCATCACCTGCCTCCTAGCCAACATGGGTGAGTGTATATATACGTACACTGCATTTGTTCATGGGACCCGATTTGATTTATTCATATATTTCTATTTGAATTTCTATGAACAGCCATTGACCGGTCGATATCGTCAAGCCTGTCGGATGCCCGGGATGCCCTGGTGAATGCGGTGGTGGACTCCCTGAGTGCGTACAAGAACACGGTCTCTAATCTGCAGCAGTCTGGTCTCATCGCCCCTGCCGCCCTGTGTCTCTTCCCCCTCTACGTGCTGGCACTACTCAAACAGGTCTGTCTGGGCGCTACACACACACAAACACAAACAAACACATGGCCTGCAGACAGGACTGGACACATTAACACAGCCTGGGTTTGTGTACATATACCCACCCCCCTACTCACACTTTCCTACCCATAAACCCACACTGGGCCTTTACACATACCAATTTTTACATTTACATTTTAGTCATTTAGCAGACAGTCTTATCCACAGCGACTTACAGGAGCAATTAGGGTTAAGTGCCTTGCTCAAGGGCACATCGACAGCTTTTTCACTTAGTCGGCTCAGGGATTCGAACCAGTGACCTTTCGGTTGCTGGCCCAACGCTTTTAACCGCTAGGCTACCTGCCGCACAGCCCCTTTAGCCAGAATAGCTTTTGTATGTACTGTATGTCTCCTTCACTAGTTAAGTTAGAAGCGGTTCAAGCTGTCAATGCTATCCCTTCTCATGAATCTGTGCTCCTCCTCCTCTTCTCCTATTCTTTCCCCTTCCTCCTCATCTTCCTCTCCACCTAACAGAAAGCACTGCGCACAGGGACCAGCACGAAGCTAGACGAGCGCGTCTTCGCCATGTGTGAGTTCAAGAGCCAGCCGCTGCAACAGATCATGCGCATGGTCCACCCCGACCTCTACCGCCTGGACACAATGTCAGACCAGGTGAGAGATCACACAACGCTTTGAACAACTGATCCAAGATCAGCACTCCACTGACCTCAGGTGTGTTATGAGCTATATAGCAAATGAGTGAAAACAGTTGTTGGATCAGTTCTTAAATACAGTGATTCCATAGTGGTGGACCGAGACTGATTTCTTATGTATTTGTAGCATTAGACTGGTTCCAAGCTGGAAACATTGGTTTTGTTTACCTGGTGGGTCACAAGGATACTAATACGATACTGCTTTACCCTTTTCTGTCCACAGGGGGCACTCCACCTGAACGACTGCATAGTGCCCCAGCCCCATCTGCTCCACCTCACGGCTGAGAAGCTGACCAGAGAAGGCGCTTTCCTCATGGACTGTGGCAGCGTAAGACCTGCTATGCTCTGTCAAATGACCAAAGTCCCTGAAAAACTAACCTTGTCTCTGTTTGAAGACTTTAGCAATGCACTCCTTCATCCGTTCCTCCACGATAATAACAGATCTGACAAGGTTGGATAGGTGAAGGCAATATTTGTAGTAACTCTGCGTTCACATATTCAGTCACGTATACACTGAGTGTACAAAACATTAGGAACACCTTCCCTAATATTGAGTTGTACCCCCTTTTGCCCTCAGAACAGCCTCAATTCGTTGGGGCATGGACTCTACAAGGTGTCGAAAAGCATTCCACAGGGATGCTGGCTCATGTTGACTCCAATGCTTCCCACAGTTGTCAAGTTGGCTGGATGTCCTTTGGGTGGTGGACCATTTTTGATACACACGGGAAACTGTCGAGCATGAAAAACCCAGCTGTGTTGCAGTTCTTGACACACTCAAACCTGTGCGCCTGGCACCTACTACAATACCCTGTTCAAAGACACTTCAATATTTTGTCTTACCCATTCACCCTCTGAATGGCACACACACAATTCATGTCTCGAGGCTTAAAAATATATTTTTTTACCTGTCTCTTCCCCTTCATCTACACTAATTTGAAGTGGATTTAACAAGCGACATCAATAAAGAATCATAACTTTCACCTGGTCAGTCCATGTCATGGAAAGAGCAGCTGTTCATATATATATATATATATATATTTTTTTTTTTTCTCTTTTAGGGTGTAGATCAGCTTTAATATTGCAGATATATTGTAACTTCCATCAATGTAATTGTCTGCATCACTTCCATGTTCATAATGGTTTGCACACTCAGTGTAGATCAGTGTTTACCTCAAGGAAGGGAATGATGGAAAGAATCATGTATTTTAACAAGGACCCTTGTTACTGTCCCATGTAGAAATGTACACTACATTGACTTCCTTTCTGTTCTCTTCTCCAGGTGTTTTACTTGTGGATTGGGAAATGCTGTAATGAGATGTTCATTCGGGACGTGCTGGGCTGTCCAAACCATGCTTCAATACCACCTAACATGGTTAGTCAGGCACAAACATTCATTATACACAATGTGACATGTATTGCTGTGTATAACTCTATGTTGTGTGTCCAGCTGGTGCTTCACAATGAAATAGTACTGTACTTAGTCAGTTCAGCTAGGGTGGCATTCACTTTTAGTAGATTTGTTTGTTTGGTTCTCTTTTTTGACGAATGGCCATGGCTACCTAAATAATGTCATACCACACAACATGGATGTGTTACAACAACACAGGCCGAGTAGCAATTGTCAAGGTTTTGTTTGTGTTTTTGATTCCATATTTTGGGAAAAGACCAACACATCCCTAAACCACAGGCATGCTTCACATTCCGAACCACACGTACATATTTCACTAAACCACACACACACCAGACGTGTGGAGATCTGGCATTGAAACCAACCACTAGTTCTCTTTAGTAATTTTTTTTTACACACACACACAGTGTAGACAGTCTTGAGTAGTAAAAACAATACTGTGGATCTTTTTTTCTTTGTCTCTTATGAATACCAGACCCAAATTCCTGAGCTGGAAACCCCTCTGTCTGAACGACTGCGCACACTCCTCGCCTGGCTGCAGGACTCGAGAACTTTCAGCTCAACACTTCACGTCGTGACGTAAGTCAAGTGCCCCTGGTCTGATCCATTGATGCTTGTGTTTTTGGTGCAAAGTGAGTGCCTTGGTCCGTGTCATGTAGGAAGCCGTCAGTTACCACATACAGTGAGTGTACAAAACATTAGGAACACATTCCTAATATTGAGTTGCACCCCCCTCCCTTTTCAAACCGGTGTGCCTGGCACTTAAATATTTTGTCTTGCCCATTCACTCTCTGAATGGCACACATACACACTCATTCTTTAACCTGTCTCCTCCCCTTCATCTACACTGATTTGAAGTGGATTTAACAAGTGACATCAATAAGGGATCAAAGCTTTCACCTGGATTCACCTGGTCAGTCTGTCATGGAAAGAGCAGGTGTTCTTAATGTTTTGTACACTCAGTGTATGATGTTTTTTATTTTTATTAACTTTATTTAACTAGGCAAGTCAGTTAAGAACAAATTCTTATTTACAATGACGGCCTACACCGGCCAAACCTGGATGACGCTGGGCCAATTGTGCGCCGTCCTATGGGACTCCCAATCACGGCCGGTTGTGATACAGCCTGGAATCGAACCAGGGGGTCTGTAGTGATGCCTCAAGCACTGAGATGCAGTGCCTTAGACCGCTGCGCCACTCGGGAGCCCCCCTGGTGGTAAGAAAGGCATGTTCAACGGAAAACATGCAGCCACTGTGAGGGTCATTGATGGATGGCTACGATTAAGGCCCACTATAGTGAACGTTGTTTGGGTTTCAGTTCGTTCTACCGTCATGCTTGTGCATTGTTGGACTATGACATTAGGCTGCTGTGAGGATCAGTTTGCTATGAATATCTACGGGCCATAGGACAATTCTTCATACCAAATGGAAGTTTTACAAATTCAAAGAGGCCTTTTAGAGTATCAAAGTAATTTCAATAGACTGTAAATGTATTCAGACTATATGCGCTCATTCTTATTTCACATGCTTATTCATTTCATTACTTCTCCCTGTAGGGATGATGCTTCAGCTAAGACCAGCTTTTTCCAGCACTTGGTAGAGGACCGGTCGGAATCAACCTTCTCCTACTACGAGTTCCTGCTCCACATCCAGCAACAGATGTCTAAGTAGAACACACAGAGCAGAATGCCCCTTGGGCCTCGTGTAGAGAAACAAAAACAGTGAACGTGGCACATGGTAAACAGGAAGTTCCCTCAGACTTACCACAGAGGGGACAAGACAACCACCCCAACCCCACCCACCCTAGTGCTCCGGTCAACCACGGTCAACCACAGCCTATGACCGGGGGAGGCAGGTGGAAGGACCGGAAAGAAAATGATAAATCAGAGTGACAAAGTGAAGATGACTTCCGGAGTTGAAGTGAAGGAATATGCCGTTGGACTCACAGATCAAGTGGTGCGCTCTTAACAAGCTGCTTCTTCAACCAGCTCGCTCCCTTGAACCTCTCTCCCATCGTCTCTTAGGCGCTGTCGTAGCTCCACGTAGCATCTCTCCCCAAGGGAAAGCCAAGGATGCTACTTCTTCCTCATCTGATTAAGTTGACCCTTCTCCGATACGCCCCCGCATGTTGTGGTATGATCCACATTTAGTTTTTTTATTGTTATACATCCTCCCCATCCTTCTCCCATTTCCTCCCACATATTTTCAAACTCATTAACATAAGAGTACAGCATCCCCCCTCTTTGTTTTCACTGTGTGTTCTGGAGCTACCTCTGTCACCATTGTGTTTGCTGCTTGTAGTCGGGTGATTGGCTACCCTCTGCTTAACAGGATGCTAGTCAACAGTGGTTGAATACCCCGCCCCTGCACCTCGACTCCTCTCCCAGCTGTTCAAATCCTGTGTCGTCAGATGAAACTGAACCCTTTGTAAACTACCCCCATCTTGTTTTTTGAGCCGCTACCAGAAGTTGCTATCCACTTTGTAACTATTGAAAATAATATTTTATGTGCGATAATTTATAATTTACCAGCTTATTAAATAAAATGAAACGGTATTCCGCTTGATTATTATTTCCCCTCATATAACAGTAGGACATTCACATATTTTGTGGAGGGGTATACTAGAAAGCAGGATCAATGAGTTAGCCAGTTAACTTGCGTAAATATTCTGAAATTACTTTTTATTCTTTAGAAATATAAGCTTGAAATGGGCATGGTCTAATGACTCAATAACCAAAAACACATATCTAAGTTTATATTTCATAATGAACCAGAAAATCTAGTGATTTCTGGTTGTTTATCAAAGTTAGCTGGCTAACTCATTGATCCTGCTTTGTAGTATTCCCTTCAGGTGTTGCAGAATGTGTCTGCTGTAGTATAAGCTACAGTGGAGGGCGCTCATCAATGTTTGTTTCATGGTTTGTAGGGAATATTACGTTGTGTGACAGAAACTGTTTTTTGCTTTGGTTTGGGAGACACAACTATGGTGAAGTGATTGGCAGGAACTTTGCATTTCTTTTGGTAAGTGAACATCTACGTTCCCTACTGATTTCTCTAAGACGCCGATCACAGACAAATTAGAGGCGTATTGCAGTTTTTGTTCATATAAGGCAACTGAGAAAAGCCACAATGGTTAAAGGAAATGGAATGGACTGTTTCCTAGATGAAAAGGATCGGAATAGAAGATCTTTTACATATTGAATTAACCACTTCGCTAATGACTATAATCAGTTTTATCTTCACTGCATGCTTTAAAAAGCACTTCTGTTACTAAGTTCCCTGCTTTATTTCACCAGCTATGTATACTGTCGTACACTCAGTAGTATAAAACTATAAAGGAATCCTTTAGCTTTATCCCTGAAAAGGTATTAACATCCATCCCTTTGTGTTCTCAGAAATTAGACCCAATGTTTTGGAAGACATTCTGCCATTTTACTCACCATATGTCTCCTAGTAAACAGCTAATTTTCTAATTTGTGAATTTTCTAAGACAAGGTTGACTAACTCGAAAAGGGGACATACCTGAGATGTACTAAAGATACATATACTGTAAATATACACACAAATGAACCGTCCTGCCTCTCTCTCTGACTCCTTGGGCCTTCCTGGTCCATTTGCAAACATCGCTGGTTCCCACATGGTTAACTTGTTATTTTAGTAAGCCATAACAACAAAGTTATACTGTTTCTTTATCAACGTCCAACTGGAAAGAACATTTTTCTCTCCATTGCATCTCAAGTTTTTTCATTTACTTTTGAGACAAACCACCAATGCCACTAATCACTTTACATAGAACATACAGTACTTGTTGCGTTTCACACATCAAAAAGTTATTAGACCATTCAATTAGTGCACAAATGTTAATTTCCTGCAGTGTTGCAAGTACGCGCACACACACAATCCTTGAAAAAGCTAATCAGTCAAAGGATATTTTCTTTACTTTTCAACTCCACCTACTCAGGGAGGTGTCACAGCACAATTCATGAGCCCCTCAACAACAAACAAACTACTGCTGTTGACCAGCTATATTTAAACACCCATTTTGACTGGACGGCCCCTAGACACACCCACTTCAACACCCCCTTTCACTCACCAGCAACCCCCTTTTCCGTCACCACCACAGTATGTCTTAGATATTTTCATTGGGCATGATGTCACAGTTTCCCCATTCAGCCTTGCATCATGACTACATTTACCCATTTTGATATCCAGAAAAGAGGGGTTTCTACAGTAGCTTTCTGTCCATGTTGTGGCTACTACTGGAAATCTGATTTGAGACAACCGTTTAAAGATATGCTTTTCTCCCTCCTTTCTTCCACTGTCTTCTTAAAGCAAACTGAACTTGTTACACACACAGGCCCCTTATCTCATGTGGTAAGGACTATCTACTAATGATATGCTGCTTGAAGTTTTGGGGTGTAATCTTGGCTTCAACGAAAGGTATGTTCTGTGCTTGTCTTGTAAGCTTACAATGGAGTATTGTTTGACAGGATATACTGCAGATAGTAGCGGTTCTCAAAATAGAGAAAAAAGTATTCTTTGTAGTCCAGTGAAAAACTGCGGTTGAACACCAGATAATACCCAGAAGTCTCCGTTTTATCCCTATGGTAAAATAAACATGACCTCTTCTGCAGCTAAAAGAATCTAACCAAGAGCCATGTTTATTTTCACATGGTAGCATATTATGAAGTAAAATACTTTTGACAACGTAGTAATAGTTTATTGTTCCATGGTAATAAACAGTCCGCTTCCACATCTGCTGTTAGCAGTTGAATTACACAAACCAACTTCTTTACAACACTCAATGTTTGCATTACCATGAACAAAAGGGAGCTCGTGACGCTCGGTTATCGAGGTCATCATACGCAATTCATGCAAGTCTCATCACCTCTATTTGTCTCTGGCTTTATGGGCAGTACAAACAAGTGTTTGTTCAGCTTTCCCGCAGCTTGACACCAATACACAAACAAACACCTCCTCCTCCCCTCCTCCATTAACCGCTCCAACCGTCAGAGAGCGAAAGAGAGTCGGCTGGGAGTTTATTTTGATGAGCACTCCTTCTTGAACAGGCCTGACTTCTAAACTTGATCCATATCCAGAACAACTTGTGAGAGACTCCCACAGCGCTGTTGGCAGGAGGTTCTCATAGAGACATGGGGCACCACAGTATATCAATTATGTTGCTTCCTCAGTTAATGCAATATTTCTCTCACGAAAGGCAGCCTGGGTAAATCAAATAGGTTTGAGTGTTCAGAATAGATAGCCTACCAAGATTTATTGAATTTCAGAAAAGGAATGGCAGTGCCTCCATCCAGAGGCGTCATGCCTATAGAGGGCACAGGGGCACTTCCCCCTCAAAGTGTGTTTGTTTTTTCTCTGTAATACTACTAGCCACTTGGCAATTTTATGAAGTTGACTTTAGCTAACCCAGATAGGTTCCCAACCTCATAACTAACTACCAAGAAGCCATTTCAGGCTATCAATTAGGTTAGACTAGCTATTTTGTTTAACTATTTTAGCTGGCATGCCTGCTGGCAAGGTTGGGAGACTTTAGAAAAGCAGGCAATAACTAAATGTACTTAATAAGACACATTCCTTTCAATATTTCACCTAGATGTAAGCAGAGATGCAGAATAGCATATTTACCAGTGGGTAGAGACCGCTCAAGAGGTATGCTTAGATATGCAGAAAAATATACATATTTTTTTACCTACAATTAAGCTAAAGATTGCAGGACAAAACTGTTATAGGTGTTTCAGGGGGGAAATGCTCAATTCTCCAACTAGCCCCCCTCCGGACCACCCACCAGCCATCCTCACGTACTTTGTGCCCCCTCAGATTTTGGGGGTGCATGACGCCCTTGCCTCCATCTGTGTGACTGTAGCTATTATTGTACTTGGCCAGAAGAGTAAGTAATAGTAAGACTCAACTCGGTCCGTACCCTGGGGCCTAGAGCGGTAGCCTACAGTGAGGGAAAAAAGTATTTGATCCCCTGCTGATTTTGTACGTGTGCCCACTGACAAAGAAATGATCAGTCTATAATTTTAATGGTAGGTTTATTTGAACATTGAGAGACAGAATAACAACAACAAATCCAGAAAAACGCATGTCAAAAATGTTATAAATTGATTTGCATTTTAATGAGGGAGATAAGCATTTGACCCCCTCTCAATCAGAAAGATTTCTGGCTCCCAGGTGTCTTTTATACAGGTAACGAGCTGAGATTAGGAGCACACTCTTAAAGGGAGTGCTCCTAATCTCAGCTTGTTACCTGTATAAAAGACACCTGTCCACAGAAGCAATCAATCAATCAGATTCCAAACTCTCCACCATGGCCAAGACCAAAGAGCTCTCCAAGGATGTCAGGGACAAGATTGTAGACCTACACAAGGCTGGAATGGGCTACAAGACCATTGCCAAGCAGCTTGGTGAGAAGGTGACAACAGTTGGTGCGATTATTCGCAAATGGAAGAAACACAAAAGAACTGTCAATCTCCCTCGGCCTGGGGCTCCATGCAAGATCTCACCTCGTGGAGTTGCAATGATCATGAGAACGGTGAGGAATCAGCCCAGAACTACACGGGAGGATCTTGTCAATGATCTCAAGGCAGCTGGGACCATAGTCACCAAGAAAACAATTGGTAACACACTACGCCATGAAGGACTGAAATCCTGCAGCGCCCGCAAGGTCCCCTTGCTCAAGAAAGCACATATACAGGCCCGTCAGAAGTTTGCCAATGAACATCTGAATGATTCAGAGGAGAACTGGGTGAAAGTGTTGTGGTCAGATGAGACCAAAATCGAGCTCTTTGGCATCAACTCAACTCTCCGTGTTTGGAGGAGGAGGAATGCTGCCTATGACCCCAAGAACACCATCCCCACCGTCAAACATGGAGGTGGAAACATTATGCTTTGGGGGTGTTTTTCTGCTAAGGGGACAGGACAACTTCACCGCATCAAAGGGACGATGGATGGGGCCATGTACTGTCAAATCATGGGTGAGAACCTCCTTCCCTCAGCCAGGGCATTGAAAATGGGTCGTGGATGGGTATTCCAGCATGACAATGACCCAAAACACACGGCCAAGGCAACAAAGGAGTGGCTCAAGAGGAAGCACATTAAGGTCCTGGAGTGGCCTAGCCAGTCTCCAGACCTTAATCCCATAGAAAATCTGTGGAGGGAGCTGAAGGTTTGAGTTGCCAAACGTCAGCCTCGAAACCTTAATGACAAAATCCCTCCTGAGATGTGTGCAAACCTGGTGGCCAACTACAAGAAACGTCTGACCTCTGTGATTGCCAACAAGGGTTTTGCCACCAAGTACTAAGTCATGTTTTGCAGAGGGCTCAAATACTTATTTCCCTCATTAAAATGCTAATCAATTTATAACATTTTTGACATGCGTTTTTCTGGATTTTTTGTTGTTATTCTGTCTCTCACTGTTCAAATAAACCTACCATTAAAATTATAGACTGATCATTTCTTTGTCAGTGGGCAAATGTACAAAATCAGCAGGGGATCAAATACTTTTTTTCCCTCACTGTATATTGGCCCCTTCATAAATCTGCCCAATTACGTAAGACATCCTGCCTTTACGCTGTTTAAAACAGCGCTACTCCACCCTTCTACACATCTTCTTCATTGGCCAGCTTACTGAGACCACAGGAAGTCGCTTCCTGCCATTTGCACAAAGTCTGGCTTCCCAGCTTGACGATTTATTCGAGCCTTCTTTAGTGCTTCCTCTGTGAAGGAGCTGTGCCACCACCGAGAGCATACCAAACGGGCACGCTCCAATGCTTCTTGCTCTGTCCCCAGCCCAACACTCCTCCATAACTCAGCAGCCTCATTTCCTCCCCCAGGTCCAGGCGAATTTGATTCCTAATTTCCAGATGTTTCTGTTTCTGGGGGAGGCAGGAGGGGAGTCGGAGGGGAGAACCAGACTACAAGACTGTCATGTAAGGCCCATGTGATACTGCCCAGCCTCCTTAAATAACTGACTTGTGCAGGAGCTCCTCCCAGAGCGACTCTGAGGCCATTATAGATGCTCTTTAATGGAAAAAAGACGTTTGGCTCAGGAGGTTAAAGCCATGGGGAGACGAGCAGGGCTCTGTTTTCTCAACCTCCCGGAGGCCTTAGAGATTTAGTAGTGGTATGGCCTACTACATATCAGTCCATCTACAGATTTATTGGGCTTTTTTTGCATACTGTACGAACATATTTCCTTTTCTGGAAATAGATTTGGGTGTTAGTTTTAGACTTCCTTTATTATTATTTGAGTATCTTTCCTTATTCATCCTGTTGTGGAAGGGTGGTCGTCAGGATGTACTGTAGGGACAGTGTGGACAGTTGAACATCCTGTTTTGCCTTTTCTTATTTTTGTCCATTTTATTTAGAGACAACAATAATTCTCAAAACCAATCTTGTGTAAATGTTGGTATACAGTAAAAAATATGTAGATGACTCAAGAGACATGTCAACATTGGGCTCTCATAACAGTAGAATAGTGTCTGATGCAATAAATCTCTGTAGTGACTAGTGACAGGCCTACTATAACTATGTCTTGGACTGATATGAGAATAAATAATTGAATCATTCACTCATCAACAGTAAGTCTAACAGCGTGTAGTAATTGTCATGGAATGTTGTGACACAAGCATTGTTTTTCTAACCACAACATTATGCTTATCATGTCAGAGTCAAACCGTACAGCGCGTTAGTTACCAAACATGGTAACATAGTTGTGTCGCGTGACATCACCCTCTCATTCACTAGTAAATACCCATATCTCTACCACAGGGTTCTCCCGTCTCAGTCATAAGTATATTATCTCAGTGATGGGTGATTGTCTTAGGATGTTGCCACCCAACATATAATTATGTTTCAAAACAACACCTTACCTCTTACCTGCATGTAGCTATAGTCTCGCTTCGAGCCATAAAGATATGACTCTGGTCCCAGTAAAAGATGGTAATGTGTGATTATGAGTTACTCAACCTCTGTATTTCTACTAAGCACAACCAGAGGATCAAGCCAATGTAATTAATTTCACTTAAAGTTGTTTTAATTCATTTGATTTGATTATTTTGGTCTCAGTTAATCATTTTCGTTATGATATATCATTTAATTTAGTTGAATGTAATTGAATTTGAGAAAACAGAGGGCATTGTTGTGACGAGTATTGAGGATACGAAGAGGCAGGACCCAGACCCAGGAACCAACAATGTAAAGGTTTACTTAACACTGAGCAAGAGAACAACAAAGAGCGAGTAAATGACATGACACTAACAATCACACACAACACAACACTGAACAGTCCAGGGCTATGAGATGCAAGTGCGCTGGAGGTGATTAGGGTGCATTGGGTTTCCATTCGGGTGTTGCCGAGGTGGTGCGCTCAGACCGGTGGCTCAGGAGACCGGTGAATCAGAGTGCCGGAGGGGAGCAACGGGAGGAGACGTGACAATTGTGGTGTAGGTCAGGAGAGGATACGCTGAGTAGTCACACGCACACAACTCATTCTACAGGCAGGAAGGTCCTAACCCCTGATATATTTAGACAGGCCTCATATCCATTTTGAACTCAAAAGCACTTACCATATCTTTGCATATCTACAGTAGGCCTGATGAAGTGAACAAACTGCTTGTTGTAATTGCAATTATAGCCAAGTCACCACTACAAAGGGAAACTTGGGAAATAATAAATAAGTAAAGCCTCCAGTGTCATGATTTAATGGTTTGTTACATTGTCCTCCTGGTTTATGGCGTACATAAATAGTTAACTTAGGCTATACCTCCCTGAATGGTAATGAATAAGAGATTCCATGACATTATCCAAGTAAATGACAAGTAATGACTAAGTGTACGTTTTTCCCGCGATTGTATTTTGAAATCCACAAAAGGCAAACCAACAGCTGCAACCAACCATATAAATATAATCCATAGATGGCAGTTCCCATTCAAGCCAGGACTAGCATCCATTGCTAATGTTTAAAAGTTGCCGGGGTAAGATGTTAAAAAACCCTTCTATGGATTAAATGTCTATGGCCACAACGCAACAAGCTGTAGCCTATATTTGGGGCGCATGCTGTGGTCATGTAGGAATACCGGTAACTGCCAAAATAAAGGAAACACTTGAGTAAACAAGGGATACAAAGTATATGTTATGGCGTGGGGTGCATTTTCCTGCCATGGTTTAGGTCCACTTGTAGAATCTATGCAAGGCACATTGAAGCTGTTCTGGCAGCTCGTGGTGGCTCAACACCCTTTTAAGACACTTTATGTTGGTGTTTCCTTAATTTTGGCAGGTACCTGTATGTGTTTGTGATGAAACTTAATCCACAGTAAAAAAATAAAATAAAAAAAAGATTAACTTATTGATCCTCTATGGCTAAATTATGCTCTTTGGGGTATTTTGAACATTGAGAGCGGGCTCCTGTGGGTGGATAAAAAAGTAGAATAATAAATGTATTATAATACATTTGGGCCCCCTACGGGCTTGGGCCCAGCCCCAACTCACACAAATGACCAGTCACATGTATTTATTATGCAATTTTTTATATATATATTTTATTAATCAGTTACCCAACCAAGGCAGGGCCCCCCAATTACCCACGTGGGCCCCATACCTCTTCTCCTCCCCCATCTGATGATTAGCAGAGCGGCAGCAGGCTGTCTACACTCATTGAGAGCGAGCTCCTTAGTCTTCCTGTGGTTGGCGGTTGCAGTGAAAAAATATAAAATATATAATACATATATAATATATACTGTATATATAATATATACAGTCTATATTTCCTTAATATATTTTTGTTTATGTATTTTTTTTGTGTGTGTTTTGTTTTTTGCCTCTTGGGCCCAGGGGCTTCAGCCCCGGTAAGCCCCTGCATTAAGCCGGCCCAGCTGGGGAAGGAGCTCCAGCGCACAGCATCGTGTATTCCTGACGTCACCAAGCATATATTGCATATAATGAGAAGAGACCAGACTTATCAACAGTTGAGTTGAGTGAAATAAGCTGAAGGAAGCATTATGGAAATATCTAAACTTTTGTATGTGTATTCATATATGAGCATGTCACTTTAAAACTTGTTCATACTTTGTTGAGTCAAACTTTAATTGAATTTCATATAGAAGGGGAGTGTTCTGTTAAACGCTCTGAGAGAGCCACTGTTGACAGTAGTAGCGCTTTCACACCATCCACATTCAGTCAGTGTGACATGCGTTTTTGTTGTTAGTTTTGCAGGGGCTGTAATTGCTAAGCGATTGCTGTTGGTCCTTATCACCAGTAGTATTTCCTAGTTGCCATTGGTGTTTACTGGCAAACGGACGTCATCTGCATTGGATCCTATACCACGAAGTGTTATAATTTTGTGCCTATATCATAAAAACGACTTCTGTGGCTGAGAGCTCTTTTGGAGAGGGAACATGGCTTCAAATGGAATGGAAAGTATGCAGTTAGCGGAGGACCAGATCAAAATTCTGGAGGAGAATTTCACCAGAGTCAGCAAGCATCCCGATGAGTCGACGCTCATGTTGATCGCAGCTGAAAGCGGACTAACCGAGAAAGAGACAGCAGTGAGTGTTCAATGATGTTCTCGATGTTGTTTCCATTATGAAAAGGTTACGCACTAGGAATAGATTCGTTTTGTATGACGGATACAATGTTGCGAGGAAATAAACTTAGCTGAGGATGGGGTGAATAGGCTAGAAGCGGCCTAGAATGATCCACACACATTTATTGTCAAAACTCAAATTAGGTTAATGTGTCTGTCTTTTCAATTTGTAACATAATGTCAACAATCAAATTAATACCTTATTTATCTTGAAAATAAACCGCAATTTAGAGAGTTACACATCTTTGGAAACCTATAGGCTATTGGCTACAACGTTGTTGTGCATATAACTTAGTATTGATAATTTTCTGCGCTGGCGCAGGCTAACCCAGTGTGCTTTCCAGCAAGTTTTTTTCTCCTTTTTTTCCACGCACCATTGAACAAATACTATGTAGCAATTTACAAAGAGAGGCAATTGGTCTTTCACTGAATAGGCGTAATGGCGCGCAGATGAGAGTGGTCAGAAGAGTGATCGTTGTTTTGATGAGATATTATCGAACTCTATTAGGCTACCCAAATGTGGAGACTATATTTTGTATTCAGTGGCAACGATGTCAAAAGAAAATAGCGTGAGTCAGACAGTGCTGAAAGCGCGCGCGTCCAGTGACGCCTCTTTGGTTGCCATTGCATGTCACTGTCCCCAAAATAACACGATGATGACAGTTTTAAAGAGAGCATTTACTCATGACAGAAATTCCAAACATTCTAATAATAAATCTGAACACCAGTGGTCCTAATAATATTGGTTTACATAACAATGTTGCCAGTTGGATCACTTTTGGATTCAGTCACAACATACATTTAATTGAGTCAATATTTGTTGTTGGACATGACTTGATTATGCAATAACCAAGCCATTGAGTAACCATATAGTATGACATAAACAGATGTAAAGTTTCAGGGTAGGGCCTATCCTATGTTTGAAGGCTGGGTCGGTGATACTCCAAGGTGTTGAGAACATGGTAAAGTTATGTAGACATCTCTATCTAATAGCATTCCACTTATGCAGAGGCTAGTTCTTCTAATTCAGTATTTAGGATGCTTATATGCTTGTTGTAATGCACTCTGTTGTTTATTGTCCTTTTAGCATAGTTGATGGATAAATAATGTTCAGTTTCAGGATTCACAATCAGTTTTAGGGTTCACAGACATTTGGTGTTGTTTTGGAGGAAGACGTGAGCTGGGTTCATTTTATAGGCAAATTTCAGGTACAGTGGTGTGTGTGACAGAGAATGACGTAACCAACCCATTGCCTTGAACAGATTTTGTCCTGCACATTATTTGCATGAACAAATGGAGGATCATCAAGAACTCCATGTACAGATCATGGGAGCCAGTATGACACATGCCTCTCAAAAGGTTATCCCTCTCTCTTCTGCAAACCGGTTTGGCCTGCTCTCTCCACTGGTGACTGAATGTTTCCATTGTGAGCGCACAAAGGTGGGAGAAGCCCAGCCAACTTGACTGGGCAAATGTGGTTCTGGGTGAGGTTGAGTACTTGGCCCGCTGACTTCATTGACAGCGGATGTTTTTAACCACCTACTGTTGTCTCATATTGTTTGAACAAAGCACTGGCTGTTTGATAGGTCTTACAGTACCTAAGGGAAAGGGCACACCCTGTTACCACTCCCTCTCATGCATAAAGAGCATTTACAACATGTTTCTACCTCTTTACAAGGTGTTTTATACAGTACCTTGTTATTAGAACGTCTGTGCTTCCGTTTCTAAAGCACACAGAGGCCATGGGGTCATGTGGAGTTTATTGCAGTGATTTATCTGTGTAATCCATCTGGGAGAACAAAAATGATGCACAATTTAGCTATATAGTGTCAACTAATTATTATAGTCATCTGTGAATAAGCCCCCGTGACAGGTTTGAAATAGGCTATTTGGACCACTTTGGGGCATGGACATTTCAAATGAGAATCATATGTAGGTTTTTCATTTGGAAATGTACCAATTATTCTCAACTGGGGTATTGCTAAAAAAAAAATATTGTGGGCCAATATAAACTAATTGTCTACAACGTTGTCTGAATGTAGTTGACTACTCCCCCAATTGCCTAGCTGGATAAATACTGCTTCAGAAATTCCCTCCTAAAAATCAGAGTTAATTTGTTTCAGTTGAACATTTAGATGTAAGCAGCCCTGGGTGTTGCTTTAGGAAACTCATCACCCTGCATAAGGAAAAACACCTAGGTGAAGAATGTCATTTCTCAGGAATATTCATGTCACAATGACTTAATTGAGTTTGTAAGCCGTCATTACCTCACCCAGGTCAGTTTTCAGGTTTTAAACAAATTTACCAATAATAATAATATTTGAAACTAATACCTGGTTGAACAATAGCAACAATGCTGTGGTGTGCCGTCACCTGTCTCTGACACCTACCTTGGGCTCTTTTTGTTTATTTCAGAAATGGTTTAGGCTACGCAACGCTCAGTGGAGACAGGCCGAGGGCCTTCCAGCTCAACTGGGATCAGTGAAAGACTAAGATTGGAATGGCGTAGGAAACCTCCCCCTCATCCCGTCGCTCCTCCAACCCACCCACCACGCCCTTACTGACCAACTCCCAGGACCCATCAACCAGTCCCCCCTTCCTTGCATCATTCTCTCTCTTTGTATCTAAGCTGTTTTCATTTACTGAATGTGAAGTGTAATGTGAGTCATTGTTTTCTTGCCAATATAACCTCCATGTTTACATATAATAATAAATAAACATATATTATATTATAATTTACATTATGGTAGACTGCTTTCATGCTGTATGTCATCTGTATAAGGGGGCTGCTGAATGCAATAAGGAAGTAGGGTACAATGACGGGAAGAGTTGGCGGGGGGACTTTGTTGTGAGGCTTTGTTTTGTGTGTCTCTCAGCAGGGAGCGGGATACCATTGGGCTTTCATGGGACTATAAAGATGTGAGGCAGCGCTCCTGTTACGACAGATTCAATGGAATCAGCTGGCCCTGTAACAGGGACTCAGGGTCAATTTTAAATTTGGAGGGAAAGGCTTTAGACATGTAAGCTGGGGTTAAGAGCAAACAACCGCCAGCAGGTGATGCCACCTACTTGTCGGTTCAGTTGTCCCTGTTTCTAGGATGGCAGACATCTTTTCTAAATCTCTGTCTAGGGGAAATAACAGGTGAAGGAAAGAGAGGGATAGATGGACTGATTGTGGGAACTGCCTACATAGCAGGCCCAACAAAAATGTATACCAACTCAACAGGTACTTCTGGTCCTAAAAAAACTCCCCCCTCTCTGTTTTACAGTGTGTTATGACAGATAGCTGTGTGGCCTGGCTGCACATAATGCATACACACAGTGGTATTTACTGTACTTCCTGTCCCCAGGCTGTTTTGTTTCCCCTGTTAAGCTAACTGTGGAAAAAAGAGTCACACCCAAAGAGGAAAAACAAGTGTGTTTGTTGAGAGTTGAGCAGCTAACACATCAAATGCAGAACATTCATCAAGCTCCAGCTGAATGCATATTGTCCCTTCTTGCATGTCACTATTAAATAATTGCATGCCATCTTATGATTTGTGTTGCAGCTGCAAAAAAACTAAAATAAGTCAACAAACCAATAAAGAAATTGATATTTGAAGATCGGAGAAAAAATTATACCCCACCGCTCCCTCATTGATATGTACCGATAACTGGCAAAGTATATCAGGAAGATAATGCTATACCGCTTGTTATGTAATTTCCTAACTACAATTCAGTGGAATGAAAGGCTTGCTGGGGTGGTCGTTAGCGTGCTATAAGAGGCCAATGTGGTGTGTATGGAATTTGAATGGGCCCTGGCATTGTCTGTTGCTAAGAAGACTTAGCAGGCGTGTGTGGAATCTGTCACCCCAGGACTGGTAAGCGTCAGAGCCTGGAAGATTCACTGGGCCAGCTGGCCCCAGGAACTGACTCCAGAACTGTCCAAACTGCACTCTGTCCAAATCGCACTTTCCAGGACTCGAGAAGCTGCTAGACTAATACGATTCACATGTGCTTCAATGTATGAGCGACAATGGTTCTCACAAGGATGTATTTTTCTTGTCGATTTTCACTTGTTTTAAAGTTCAACCAAAGGGGCAAGTGAGGATGTCTTGGTTTGTTGTTATCCCTGCATTAGTAGGAAGTGTTTTTTTATTTTATTAGATCAAAGGGTTTTTGAGTGCAGCCTTGAATAGTCAAGGATGATATGAAAAGATCTAACAAGGCCGATAAGACACTAAATGAACCATGGAATTTGTTTGCATACTTACAATTGAGGCAATGAAGAGTTGATAGGAAAAAGATGTGTGCAGACAGAACTTCATAGGGTTTAAGTGGCTAAATGTGAAAGTAGCTAGTTTCACTCAGTAGTTAAAAATGTGGTCTTCATTCAGGTGTTTAAAGAGGGGATATATTTACGCACACTGTTTATTACCAATTACTACATCAATAATGAACTGTCTATAAACTACTTACGGAACGTTTATAAAGCCTTTATAAAGTGTAGCTTAATATAGTGTTGCAGTTCTCTGCCAAAACCAGATCAGTCTCACTAATACTCTGCAAGCGTCAGCATCACATCTAAGCGGCGGGATCCAGACAGTGAGACAGCCACCCCACTCAGAGCCTATCAGTGTCAGAGCTGGCTGCCATGCACAGACAGATAACCAGCAGCATAGATCAAAGCTCCTCTTTAGGAACAGGTGCTCCATGGGAACTGAGTCAACCAGCGGGAGGCACCAACAGTCATTACACTCCTCCTTCCTCCTATGCCTCCTCCGCCTTCCACTATATCCCTCTTTACCCTCCGGTCCAAGGTCACGATCATTGCTGGCTTATCCAAGATTAGGTCCCAGTTGGACGCTTGGATCTGATTTGAAGTCTAGCCTCTGAGGTCTGTACGCCTCTCCGCTCGGGCCCTACACTCAAAGCTACACCAACCCTCCAGCACCGCTCACCGCTCTAAATCCACATGGCCCCATTGAAAGCCATTGTGTCCACTTTTAGGTAATGCTCACATGTGCCTGTAGTGTAACCGGGATTACGGTGTATTTCAAACCGAGGTCATGGTGCCTTTTGTAAATTAAACAGTGGTCATATAGGCTGGGAGGCTGACATTTAAAGCTCCTGGGGCGAGTGTGGTTTTGAATCAATCTATGAGATTTCACTATCTCAAGGAAAACACGTGAGGAATATTTACAACAGGTGGTTTTGATATAAACGGAGAACCCAAAATGATTGAAATGTAGAAACACATGTGGATCCTTTTATCATACCTTTGCTCTCATTTCGAAAGACGATAACACATTCTTCTGGAAAGGGAGGCTACTGGAGCAAAGCAACAGAAACAATCCCAATGGTCAGAAACGAGACAGTTTGTTTTGGCTGTTTGCTAAAGACAATGTAATGTATTGCTTCGATTTCGTAAAAAGGAGCTCCAAGCACACGTCTCATTGCATATGATTGCAAAACCAGTCGGGGACAAAAGCGTCCGGTTTTCCCATCTCGGCTCTGGCGCCAAAAGATTTTAAAAAGCACAAGATGTTGTCTTATTAGAGACCCCTTGAGTAATCTGTACCCATTTATTTTGCTTTTCTCAGTGGCCATTTTCCTAGTGCACCAACATGGACCTTGACGGAGAATCAAGCTCATAAAGGTGGCAGGTCTCTCAGAGGGATGTAGTCCTTATGAAGTCCCTTAGGAGCTGATAGAGTTTGAAGTCGTAATGTTGCTGTGGCCTGCCGGGATCCCCTTGACACCTGTTGAGAATGCATGTTTCAGTGAGTCCTGTCCAAGGAACTAGAAAACTTATATGAAAGCATACCCTTTCTTACGTCGCATCTTTCTTCAAATTATAGAAAATAAAAAATCTAATATCACAACAATATTGAGACAATGTTACACATTGGTGCAGAGCATCATTCTAGGTCTAGGAATTGAACTGTTTTCCAGCGTGTTGTGTGGGTGACAGTAAAGGCGATGTGCTCACTGGCCAAATGGAGTCCTCTGGACGTCCTCGCTCAAAGAACATTTTACTGTCCCTCAACTTGGGCAGCGAGAGCTGGTCCAGCCTGTGAGTGGTCTGGGCCGTTTTGGCAGCATAGGAAATGTATGTCTCCACTTTCTTAAAAAAAAAGAGAAGTATAGAAGTAAAAGATGAATCAATGCCTTATGTATGGTTTCCCAATAAAACATGACCTCAAGCATTGAAGGCCAAAACAAAAGTTCTAAATAAGTTATCCAAACGTTATCCAAAGGTACAGCAACTGTAAACCATTGATATACACCTTTGGCAACACTTTCAATTCCATTGAATTGAATAAATAACATACCTTTCTTTCTAGGCACTTACCTCCCTGTTGCTTCTGAAGTTGAGGTGGTTCCCTTTGGGATTGGCTAGCTGTAGTAGCCGTGGAGTGGTCTCAGCAGTTCTCACTCTGGGGTCTATATGCCAGATAGGGCAGCTGTACTCACAACACGATGTGTGAGGAGGCCTGTGGAACCACAGAGATTCTAATATTTGTATTTATATATGCAAGATCACCATAAAACAATATGAAGCATCACAAACAAACACAAACACCACAACATAGCTCTCCGCCCTGAACTAAAACCTCTCATCTATTCAGACCATGCCCATGGGAGTGTGTTCCACAGAGGCATGAAAACAAACAGGCATATTGTTTGGCATATTCGGTCCAGTGTGCAGGCCTGAGAGTCCTTTCTAGAAGGCTTGAGGCCAAATATGCGCTGCTGCGCTTGAAGATTTATAAAAAGACTTCCATGGCTGTGTCTGAATGTCCCAGGGGCCTGAGCTTGGGACAATAGCCCCTATTATCTCACCATCGCCTCCTCTCTCTCCCAGAGCCACAGCTCTCTACCGAAATAACAGATGTCATAATATTGGCTTCCTAGGCCAAGGAGGATCTGGGCCAAGTGGCATGCTTGCGTATACTCTAGTATTTAACAATGTGGACTAGGCACATTTTGTTATGGTCACGGTTTCTTGGGGACTTTACCTCATTTCCAGGGAGCTTCGGGACCTGGTCTTAGGTGTTGACAGGCGGACAATGCGCTCGTACTGGGCCGTCTTGGAGGAAGAACGTAATGTCTTCCTAGAGGAGCTCACCTCCTCCTCTTTCCTGCAGGAAAATACAAGCAATTACCGTACATTTATTTTGGCTAAAAGAAGTATCATCATGCCAGAGGAAAAATACTTAACCTCCTGTCTCAATGGACAATTGTAAGGGTTAAATGCATCACTAACGATGCAACATTTTAGAGGGGTGAATAGACAGATCTGACTGTGTTGACCCTGAACAACTTGTCAATGAAGAGCGATTTCACTTCACATTTAGGCGAGATATGGATCATGACACATTGTGAGGGTGACATGCCACCTCTGTTGCCTGCAGGCAGCACCCAGACAGCTAAATTCACTTTCTCCGTAATCTCATTAGACTTAATGGTTTAGTCATAAACTGCACATTTGAAGAATGCCAAATATCTGTCTCCAATTATCTAGTAGGTTGGTGAGGTTATGTGATGCAACTACAACCACTTGGAACACTTGAGCATTGTTTCTATGTCAAAACCACACAAAAAAACTGCAGCACATTAAAACATAAATTCAATGAGCACAGAAACAATGATGGCAGCTTTCCTGTGGCCAAACTGGCCATTCATTCTCACAAATGCTGCCTTTTTCAATTCAATAAATAGCTTATTTAACAAGGCAGGGCTTCCTGAGAAGAATTTTGATTGAATTATTTGTCTAATGTTCCATGCACGTTTAGCTTGACAGCTGAATAAAAAAAAAAAAAAAGTAGGTAATCTAATACAGGTCTGTCTGAACCTGACTAACAGATATCTTTCGAATTCGAATAGACATCTCTGGAGCAGTCACCTCCAATGAGGATGCAGGAAATTGGCAAATAGCCTGAACATCACTTTTCACTCTGGAGGACAATTTCCTGCGCTTGAGCTCAGAGCCAAATGTACTGTATCTTATGCAAGCTTATAGAGCAGACTAATTTAAGACTTAGCAAACATTTTCACTGTTTTGTGGTGACACTGCACAATATAATCGTAACGTATCGAGCATAACTACTTACAATGCTTTTTTATTCTAACTGTTGGCTCATACTTTTTTGAGTGAGTCATCAATAATGTTCAGCCTGGGTGTAATTAGTATACAATTACCTCAGGTGGTCCTCCCATGCTGAGAAGTCTCTTTTGTGCTTAGCTAGGTATTGGATTCTTTCTGTTGGAACTGCACCCAGCGCTGAGTAAGACAGGGGCCATATTGACTCCTGATTGCCCCAAGTAAGCTTTGGACTAGATCAATGAGAAAATAAACTTTCAGGGGGGAAAACCATGGACCGTGTAGGGGAAATCGCTCAAATAAACATCTTCACTATGAATGCTAATGTATAAACAAAAAAGTACTTGGTTGAACGTTTTTTTTTCCATTGATAGACTTATCATAGGAACATGTAAAATGTCATGAGCATACAATTATTTGCAGATACCAATACTCATAAAGTAGCCTACTCACCAAGGTGTTGTGACCCATACTGTTTTGGATTCTTTGTGTTGTGCAAGTTCCAGAATCCTACAAGAATGTTTCATTTCATTATCACCTGTTAGAATGTATCCTGACAATACAAAGAGAACCAACAACAGGGCAGTAGTTGTAGTACCTTGCTTTTTTGCACATCAGTTTGATCTGAAAACAAGGAATTCATAAAGAAAAGATGTGCACCTGTTTGATGGACAAGATCTGGATTCAAGTCCTACAAAAGAGAGGATTGTTCTGAGAATAACTGTTTAGCCCCTTATAATAAAAATAAATGGAAATTCAGTAAAAAAAAATCTAATAATTAAAAGGACAACATTAACATTATGTTCAACATAAGCATTCGGACAACACGGTCCCCCCATACGTACCTGTTTTTCCAGATACCATGTCTGCCTGATGGAAAGTCTTTATAAATGTACCCGGTTGAATTCACCTGCTGGGTCACAATGGTCTATGTTGTTGCTATGGCATTGGGAGTCCCTAGCAACATGGCAGGACTGGACTACTTGAGTGTGGGGGTTGAAACCCGAGTGTACAAACCCCCCTTGGGAGTCTGTCTATCTTCTTTCTTAAGACTTCCGATACAGGATGTCAAATGAAAAGTGATATCTGAGGTCAAGGAATGACTTAAGTATGTATGGTTAGCTGTATTTTAACTCCAAAAATAAACTCCAAAAATAAACATAAATGTCAGCATAAGCCTATGGACAACACTTTGAGCCAAACAGGTATTTATAACCAGGTTTTTATTTACATCACCAGGTGTGACAAAACAGAAAAAGAGTGGCAAAAAATGAGGTATTTGATGCTTAAATGACAGAAATGGTTTGGAGCTCTGTTATAGTCATGCCATACAAATTAATTGTTCCATTGGTTTTTGAAATTCAGTAGTGCACTTCATACCTGCTTATTACTCAAGATTATACCGGTAGTTTTACAAGTGATAAACATGAAAATGAGTAGCACATTTTGTGCTTACATGTAGATTTATTCCTTAGTGCATGTAAATGCTTCAACTAACTCCAAGGCAAAACATTGTTAGCCAAATGTCCAGACACAAGTGAAAGACGGTACTTTGGAATTGTTTTAATTCTTCAAAATACATTTTTGGGATGATTGCTTTGGTTAAATAAATATCACATTGGTTTTAAGAAAATATAACTATGTAGCAAGTTCCCTTTAAGACAATATAGTCATGTTTCTATGCAAAATATAACAAAAATAATCCTATGTACCACAAAAGAGTCTTCAACATACTACCTAACAGCCATTTGTCTAAAATAGAACCTGCATTATGCTCTGCAAGTTGTAGATAGCTCTAAGAGAAGAATCTTTGATAACAACAAAGCATTCTCAATTAAATCCCTATAGGTAAGGATGTTGAGACCATCCTTGAATTATTGTGTCTGAAAGTGAAAAACTACAGAAGCAAGTAAATGTGCTTTAGTTCATTTGTGCTAATGCAATTGCCAGTGAATGAGTTTGACCATAAGCACCTTCTCAGCTTATGGCTTCTTTGGAATCATCATCATTCTACAGATGTGAATGAGGCCTTTCACTATCATGCAGTCTGTCAGTAGAGACTGTAGCTAGTGCTATCAAAACAAATAAAGGCAAGCCAGGACAGGGGTGAAACTAAGGTAACATATCACCTCTCAGCCAGTGGGTCATTCATAGCTGATGACTAGATGGCGAGTCTATCTACCATCCTGCACCATTTGAATGATCAGGTCCCGTGCGTCCTGCACAGCAGAATTCACCTCTGTGTCCCCCTTCTTTACATGGGTGCCGATGAGGAAGAGCTTGCGTTGGTCCCCCACCTCCTCCAGGGACAGGGCTTCATGGAGCGTTGTGATACTGCAGGCCCCCTGGTTATCCTGGAGATAAGGGGATTAACGGGAACAAACCCAAGGTGAGACACTGGAGCAGGTAAAGTATCTCACAAGGATGAAAAAGAGGCAACGAGGAAAGGAAACACCACTATTGAAATGCAACTCTTGGCTCGTTCTCACTTGTCTGTCCTCGATTCCTCACGTCCTTCCTCCTCATCTCATTCTTAAAATGCTTGGAGAAGATCCAAGGTTACGCCCCTCTGACCTTCTCCTTCAAGGAGGTGAGGAGAGAGGACGTGAGGAATGAGGAAGGAAAGACAATTGAGATGCAAGCCGTATGTCAGTGTGTCAGTCTCACCTGCTTGTTGGCCAGTACCACTAAGGGAAGGTAGAGGTCGGTTTCGAGCAGCTCGTGGAGATGCTTCTTAGCCAAAGGGAACTGGGCGGCGTTGGAAGAGTCCACCACAAACACGAGCACCATAGCCTTGCACATGTACCTCTTCCAATATGGCTGCAGATTCTCTGTGCCACCAACTGCAAAAGATGGCATGTTTTTTTTCCATTTCTTCACCACAAGGTATCAGTGCAGTAAGTCATTTATTAACATTTGTTAAACACAATAAAATACTATGAATGCATATCGAGTGATGAACTCATGTTGGTCAGTTTGCATATCTTACAGGGTCTGTAGGTCTCCACTAATAAGACCCATTTCTTCTTATCATGGTCATCCAGATAATTATCAGTAACTGTACTCTCATTATTGTTATGTGCAGGTTGCATTTACTTTCTAGGAACTCAATCTGCAGGTCCTCTCTATTGATGGAGACCGCGTTGAACCCCTGTGTTGGGGCTACATCCCGCTCCAGACTCCCTGTGGCAAAGCAGTGAAGCAAGCTGGTCTTCCCCGCACCTTCGAGGCCTAGCACCAGGACTTGCTTTCCTGTGGCCTTTACCTAAGACAGCACATAATAATAAAAGCACATCAGATGCACAAGTTAAAACAACCCAGATAATAATATATTTAAACATTGCATATTAATACTTTTCTGTTAGTGCTGATCCGGAATCATGTGAACATTTATAAAGCTTGGGCCATGATACTGGTCATGCAAACAATGAACCAATGATTTAGGCCCACAATGAACTTTTATTGCTTAATCATTACTTCAGCCTTAGTTTTATATCACACAGAAGTCAAAAGAGACTGAAGGGGGCTTAACTGAACTGTGTCACATTACAACATCATGAGGTCAGTAAGAGCCGACCACTGCCTGAGTAAGAATAGACTAGTGTATGATAAAACAGTGCGGCAAGATTATAATGTCAAGATAAGACTTGGACCTAGCTACAGTTTGTATGCCAGATATGTGATAACTATGTTTCCATTACTGGGCGTTACAGGTTAGCTTATACAAAACGCAATTAACTAACCTGCTCTTGGCGGATCTGACTTTGTTCTCGATTCGTGGAAAAAGGTATCTTATAAATGTCTGTTTCCAGTTGCAGGTGGCTCTACAAAAACCAGAGAACTATATAGAGGACTTTACTACTGATGAATGTGTTTGATTTTTATGACAGTGTTTTTCTTTCTGCTTGCGTCTTTCTGCTTGCATTAAGTATTTATATTTTGATGTGTGTATTTTCTGTAATTTATGTAATTCAGGGCTCATCTGTAAAGGAGACCTTGGTCTCAGTAATAATATATATATATAGAACCAGGGGCGCAACTTTCACTGGGGACGGGGGGCGGTCATGTCCCCCCCACACATTCTGAAATTGCATTTTTGTCCCCCCAGTTTTATCATTGCAATGTGATACAAAACGTGTAATCGGTGTGCTTTAGGACCATGTGGACGCCTCCGAGTGGTCGGGTAGGCTGTTTGGAGTGTTCAGCTGGCAGGTTTTAGGAACACGTGGACACCACAGAGCGGGCTGACAGGCTGTGTGAATGCAAAGCTTCTGGAAGGCTGGCTGGACCAGCACGGGAGAGTTGAGCATAGTTCAGTGTGTATGTGTTGCGCTCTTTCACCGAGTTGTAAAGGCAAGCAGAGCAGAAACTGGCTACTCTTTAGTTGACTGATGAATCTGGCAAGGTATCTGCTGTTTAACTTAATAGAAGAAAACTAAACTAGTGTTTATTTGCAGTGCTGAGCTAGTATTGTAACTGACATGTAACGTTAGCTAATGTTTCATCCCCTCTCAACTGAGGTGAATGAATTAGCTACGCTAGCTAGTCAGATAGTAATAATAGCCACCTCATATGGCTATCTAACAGCAGTTGTTTGTATAGAAATGTTTTGTAGCTATTATTTTTGCCTCAATCACACTAGACCTGAATCAAATGATGAAACCATCAGCCAAACGATTGAAGATTGATATTCTGGCGTTTTTTCAGTGCAATGTGAGTTTTTATTAGTCAGTATGGCAATGTAACATTATTGATCTGTCAGTTTCCCTCGCTAATTCCCTACTCTTCACACTGACACAGTAATAAACAGCTCTAACGTTATAGGCTTCACTGTCATGGTGCACAGTAGAGGTCTGCGCAGGACCGATTTCTTCATCCCGCTCCTGCCCCCATCCGCAGCTTTTCATACCACACTCCACCCCACCTGCTGGCTTTCTGTCTGACTCCCACCCACTACCCCAAGAACTGGTCCCAAGAACCAACCGCAGCTCCGCAATGTTATTTTAGGCGTATGTGACGCAACTCACTTGCCAGCCATGGTCCCATTAATTTTGCGCCCTATAGGCAATATCAAATGTGCAAAAATAACTTAAGAAATAGTTTAAATTATCAGAGATTCTTACATGGCCCTTATATTAGGCTATCTGTATTACTGGGCTATATCAGCCAATATGCTAGAGGTAGTTTGAAGAGAGCAGAGTAGGAAAGACTTCCACTTGAGTTATTTTTATAGTTACCTTTTAGGAGTGGGAAGATTTTCAGACTGAGAAATATGGGTGATCAATATTTAGGCCTATTTCTAGGCAATGTAGTAAACTATTTAGGAAGTACATTTCCTTGGAAATATAACTGCCCAGTGCTTCTCCGCCCATGCATAGGCTATAGCCTACTCTATTTAATTGAGACCACACGCGCACCTGATCTCGCAGGTATGGCTACTGACCTGGAAGCAGCAAGAATGATGACAGCGACATAGGCTTATAGCATATAGCCTACCTTTTAGGAGGACGATTTGCAGGCAGAGACAAATAAATGGGTAATAAATAAAAAATGTAAATGAAAAGGCGCAACGCTCGCTCACCATAGTAGCCTAACCTATGTGCGCGTTGTGCCTTTTCCTTTTCAATGATGACGTGTTTTGATTGCATTTCGACTCACGTTGGTTGAGCGCCCTCCACTTCTTTCCATTATCAATATTTATTTACAGACAATATAGTAAACTACAGTCTAATCATATTTAAGTTAATTTCATATTTAAATTAACTGCCACGTAATTCTCCGCCCATGTATGCAGCCTACTCTATTTCAATGTGATCACACATACTAGGCGCACTTGAACTCTCACGCCCAGGTAGGGTACTTAAGTTGAAGCAGCGAATTCTGAATGTGTGAATAATGCGAAAATCTGTGCTTTTAATACTAACGCATTCAAAGCAGAAAGAGGTTCGTTTCCAAATAATCTGTGGATAAACAAATATTTTCATCCAAAAGTCGTCTGTCTGACCGCCCACAGCATGAAAAATGCTGACCGCGCCGCAATGATCTCTGTCGGGACCCGCAGGGCATCCCGCGGGAATGCAGCCCTCTAGTGCACAGTCAGTACACAACACTGCTCATTATGTCTTAACAGGATCAGATGGTGACAGGGGTCCCAGCAGGGACAGAGAGCCAGGGAAGACCAGTCTACGGCGCTCAGGTGAATTTAGCAATATATTAAAAATATCAGTGAATGATAAAAAGTTCCATCTTGAATTGATGGGTAGACCTACAGTAGCTACAGGACAGCAGCTTAAAGCTACAGTCTGGGATCTGGGAATAATGGTCATTTCCATTATTGAACCATCGATTCTATTGTTGGATAATATAATGTATAAATGTACACCAAGGTAATTATTGTCATGCTTCATCTTAGGAGGATCAGATGGTGACAGGGGTCTCAGCAGGGTCAGGCAGCCAGGGAAGACCAGTCTGTGATGGAGCTGAGGTGAATTTTAACCAATTCTTAACAAAAAAATAAATAAATGAAAATACAGACTTTTGATTGTCTTTATTAAGACATCCTCTATATCAAATTTCAGCCAGAGCGACCATCCAGCCCGAGCCGCATGCATGCCCGACCCCCACCAGTCTAGTAAATAACTAAACTATCTCCCAACACAATTTCCTTCCCAGTTCCCACCATGATTTTGTTTTATTCCTAAGGGAAAGGTTTGGAAACAAAATAGAAAATATTGATCTAGTTCAGTCTTATTAATCACTTAAACATATTTAATAACGATCTCTTACCTAGCTTAATGACTGTGGGCATTTTTGCTTACTTTTTGTTCAAATAGAGACGGCATATTGGATGATGTTAAAATGCAATAAATTAGTATTAGATGCCCAAAAAAGTTCTGGGGGACTACCCCCAGATCCCCGCTAGATTATACCCCCACCACATCTAAAACCAAAGTGGCGCCCTTGTATAGAACCGATTCGTTGCCTATCTATGGACCCTACTTATTATAAACTGCACAGGATATTTGCCTCTAGTTTGCAAGCTGGTCAATAGAAATGTCTAACTTGTTTAATATCTACACAACTACTTTTCTATGGCGGTGAGGTCATTTCCAATAGCAACCACAAACATCCGTCAAGTAGGCGTGCCTCAAAATATACATTTTGTAAGCGCAATATGAACAAAAAGTACCTCTGTTATGATTGTTGGTGTTTGCTGTGCGGGTTCTGGTGCTTTTTGTGCAGTTTCTTTCCTAGTCTCCTTTTTTATTTTCTCTGGTTCTTGCTTTGGCTTTGGCTTTGGCTTTTCCCCCGAAGACACATACGTCCAGATGACATACGCAACTCCTCCGGTTACTGCAAGAGCAAGACCCACGACCGCAGCTTCTCTGACAACAGGCATGTTCGAAACAATGTTACGAAATCTTGAAGAACTGTTTCACATATCTTTATACATCGTGATAATCGTTATGTATCAAGAAGTTTGCATCCCCCGGTTACAACAAGTGGATTAAGCTCTCAACGCGATAGGGGATATCCGGGTGCTTAGAGCACACAGGAAGTAAGGAGACAGAAAATATCGTGATTGCAGGAGCTAGAAGAGATATATATATATATATATATATATATATATATATATATATATATATATATATATATATACAATAGAATACGGGGTGTATGGCTGCGTTTACACAGGCAGCCCAATTCTGATATTTGATCCATCATTTTACATCAAGATCTTTTTCAGAGCTGATCTGATTGGTCCAATTAGTGAAACAAATATCCGAATTGCGCTGCCCATCTAAACGCAGTAGTAGCGTCACAATTTCAAAGGAAGGACTGAAAAAGCCACCATGCCTCCATCAGTAAAAAATATTTTGGAAGCTTTTGAAATGCATTTATTAATATCTACATTTGTTTTCGCCACCTTTATTCTATTACAGACACCTTAATGAATACTTATATTACATTGTGAGCTAAACATCAAAATATTTAAAAACTCCTTTAAGCATAATTTTTTGGAAAGTATTAATGTTACTGTCCCCACTACAACAATACATGTATTTTTGTCCTTGAAACATTTATTTGAAATACTGTAGAATTCCATTCATTCCAATGAAGGACTGCTTCTTCTGAGGAGTGCCAATATGGCTGTCAGGTGGCTTCAAAGCCTATCATTGACCAATACAGTGAGGGAAAAAAGTATTTGATTCCCTGCTGATTTTGTACGTTTGCCCACTGACAAAGAAATGATCAGTCTATAATGTTAATGGTAGGTTTATTTGAACAGTGAGAGACAGAATAACAACAAAATAATCCAGAAAAACGCATGTCAAAAATGTTAATAATTGATTTGCATTTTAATGAGGGAAATAAGTATTTGACCCCTCTGCAAAACATGACTTAGTACTTGGTGGCAAAACCCTTGTTGACAATCACAGAGGTTTCTTGTAGTTGGCCACCAGGTTTGCACACATCTCAGGAGGGATTTTGTTCCACTCCTCTTTGCAGATCTTCTACAAGTCATTAAGGTTTCGAGGCTGACGTTTGGCAACTCGAACCTTCAGCTCCCTCCACAGACTTTCTATGGGATTAAGGTCTGGAGACTGGCTAGGCCACTCCAGGACCTTAATGTGCTTCTTCTTGAGCCACTCCTTTGTTGCCTTGGCTGTGTGTTTTGGGTCATTGTCATGCTGGAATACCCATCCACGACCCATTTTCAATGCCCTGCCTGAGGGAAGGAGGTTCTCACCCAAGATTTTACGGTACATGGCCCCGTCCATCGTCCCTTTGATGCAGTGAAGCTGTCCTGTCCCCTTAGCAGAAAAACACCCCCAAAGCATAATGTTTCCACCTCCATGTTTGACGGTGGGGATGGTGTTCTTGGGGTCATAGGCAGAATTCCTCCTCCTCCAAACACGGCGAGTTGAGTTGATGCCAAAGAGCTCGATTTTGGTCTCATCTGACCACAACACTTTCACCCAGTTCTCCTCTGAATCATTCAGATGTTCATTGGCAAACTTCAGATGGCCCTGTATATGTGATTTCTTGAGCAGGGGGACCTTGCGGGCGCTGCAGGATTTCAGTCCTTCATGGCGTAGTGTGTTACCAATTGTTTTCTTGGTGACTATGGTCCCAACTGCCTTGAGATCATTGACAAGATCCTCCCGTGTAGTTCTGGGCTGATTCCTCACCGTTCTCATGATCATTGCAACTTCACGAGTTGAGCTCTTGCATGGAGCCCCAGGCCGAGGGAGATTGACAGTTCTTTTGTGTTTCTTCCATTTGCGAATAATCACACCAACTGTTGTCACCCTCTCACCAAGCTGCTTGGCGATGGTCTTGTAGCCCATTCCAGCCTTGTGTAGGTCTACAATCTTGTCCCTGACATCCTTGGAGAGCTCTTGGTCTTGGCTATGGTGGAGAGTTTGGAATCTGATTGATTGATTGCTTCTGTGGACAGGTGTCTTTTATACAGGTAACAAGCTGAGATTAGGAGCACTCCCTTTAGGAGTGTGCTCCTAATCTCAGCTCGTTACCTGTATAAAAGACACCTGGGAGCCAGAAATCTTTCTGATTGAGAGGGGGTCAAATACTTATTTCCCTCATTAAAATGCAAATCAATTTATAACATTTTTGACATGCGTTTTTCTGGATTTTTGTTGTTGTTATTCTGTCTCTCACTGTTCAAATAAACCTACCATTACAATTATAGACTGCTAATTTTTTTGTCAGTGGGCAAACGTACAAAATCAGCAGGGGATCAAATACTTTTTCCCCTAACTGTACATAGGACAGAAATCCAGGGTTTATACAATGCATTCGTAAAGTATTCAGACCCCTTGACCTTTTCCACATTTTGTTACTTTACAGCCTTATTCTAAAATTGATTAAATATTTTTTCCCGCCTCATCAATCGCCACACAATAACCCCATAATGACAAAGCAAAACAGGTTTTTAGAAATGTTTGCTAATTTAAAAAAGAACAACATAAATATTTCACATTTACATAAGTATTCAGACCCTTTACTCAGCCTCGAGTCTTCTTGGGTATGACACTACAAGCTTGGTACATTCTCCCATTCTTCTCTGCAGATCCTCTCAAGCTCTGTCAGGTTGGATGGGGAGCGTTGCTGCACAGCTATTTTCAGGTCTCTCCAGAGATGTTAGATCGGGTTCAATTCCAGGCTCTGGCTGGGCCACTCAAGGACATTTAGAGACTTGTCCCAAAGCCACTCCTGTGTTGTCTTGGCTGTGTGCTTAGGGTCGTTGTCCTGTTGGAAGGTCAACCTTTTCCCCAGTCTGAGGTCTTGAGCGCTCTGGAGCAGGTTTTCATCAAGGATCTCTCTGTACTTTGCACCGTTCATCTTTGCCTCGATCCTGACTACTCCCAGTCCCTGCCGCTGAAAAACATCCCCACAGCATGATGCTGCGATCACCATGCTTCACCGTACCACCGTACCGTGCCAAGTTTGCTCCAGACGTGACGCTTGGCATTCAGGCCAAAGAGTTCCATCTTGGTTTCATCAGACCAGAGAATCTTGTTTCTTATGGTCTGAGTCCTTTAGATGCCTTTTGGCAAACTCCAAGTGGGCTGTCATGTGCCTTTTCCTGAGGAGTGGCTTCCGTCTGGCCACTCTACCATAAAGGCGTGATTGATGGAGTGCTGCAGAGATTGTTGTCCTTCTGGAAGTTTCTCCCATCTCCACAGAGTAACTCTAGAGCTCTGTCAGTGACCATTGGGTCTTTGGTCACCTCCCTGACAAAAGCCCTTCTCCCCCGATTGCTCAGTTTGGCCGGGCGGCCAGCCCTATCAAGAGTCTTGGTGGTTCCAAACTTCTCCAATTTAAGAATGATGGAGGCCACTGTGTTCTTGGGGATCTTCAATGCTGCAGAAATTTTTTGGTACCCTTCCCCAGATCTGTGCCTTGACACAATCCTGTCTCGGAGCTCTACGGAGAATTCCTTCGACCTCATGGCTTGGTTTTTGCTCTGACATGCACTGTCAACTGTGGGACCCTATATAGACAGGTGTGCTCTTATCCTTCTAGAACCATCAGATCCTCCTCTCCACCCTCTCCGAGTTGGGCATCTCCGGCGCGGCTCACTCTTGGATTGCGTCCTACCTGACAGGTCGCTCCTACCAGGTGGCGTGGCGAGAATCTGTCTCCGCACCACGTGCTCTCACCACTGGTGTCCCCCAGGGCTCAGTTCTAGGCCCTCTCCTATTCTCTCTATACACCAAGTCACTTGGCTCTGTCATATCCTCACATGGTCTCTCCTATCATTGCTACGCAGACGACACACAATACATTTTATCCTTTCCCCCTTCTGATAACCATATGGCGAATCGCATCTCTGCATGTCTGGCAGACATATCAGTGTGGATGTCGGATCACCACCTCAAGCTGAACCTCGGGAAGACAGAGCTGCTCTTCCTCCCGGGGAAGGACTGCCCGCTCCATGATCTCGCCATCACGGTTGACAACTCCATTGTTTCCTCCTCCCAGAGTGCAAAGAACCTTGGCGTGACCCTGGACAACACCCTGTCATTCTCCGCTAACATCAAAGCGGTGACCCGATCCTGCAGGTTCATGGTCTACAACATTCGCAGAGTACGACCCTACCTTACACAGAAAGAGGCACAGGTCCTAATCCAGGCACTTGTCATCTCCCGTCTGGATTACTTTAACTCGCTCTTGGCTGGGCTCCCTGCCTGTGCCATTAAAACCCTACAACTTATCCAGAACGCTGCAGCCCATCTGGTGTTCAACCTTCCCAAGTTATCTCATGTCACCCCGCTCCTCTGCACACTCCACTGGCTTCCAGTTGAGGCTCGCATCTACTACAAGACCATGGTGCTTGCCTACGGAGCTGTGAGGGGAACGGCACCTCCTTACCTTCAGGCTCTGATCAGATCCTACACCCAAACGAGGGCACTACGTTCATCCACCTCTGGCCTGCTAGCCCCCCTACCTCTACGGAAGCACAGTTCCCGCTCAGCCCAGTCAAAGCTGTTCGCTGCTCTGGCACCCCAATGGTGGAACAAGCTCCCCCACGACCAAGACAGCGGAGTCACTGACCACCTTCTGGAGACACTTGAAACCCTACCTCTTTAAGGAATACCTGGAATAGTATAAAAGTAATCCTTCTACCCCCCCCAAAAGAAAAAAAGTGGTTGTCCCACTGGCTATCATAAGTTGAATGCACCAATTTGTAAGTCCCTCTGGATAAGAGCGTCTGCTAAATGATGTAAATGTGTGCCTTTCCAAATCATGTCCAATCAATTTAATTTACCACAGATTGACTCCAATCAAGTTGTAGAAACATCTCAAGGATGATCAAAGGAAACAGGATGCACCTGAGCTCAATTTCGAGTCTCATTTCTAAAAACCTGTTTTCTCTTTGTCATTATGGGGTACTGTGAGTAGATTGCTCAATAAATGTTTTGATTTACTCCATTTTGGAAAAAGGCTGTAACGTAACAACATTTGTCAAGAAAGTCAAGGGGTCTGAATACTTTCCGAAGGCACTGTACATCATTGATAAAACTTTCCAAAGACAAATTCAAGTTAACACAAAGAGATCAGTTTGTCAGTTGTTAAGGAATCCTATTTATTAAGACATAACAATGGGATACACATTTTGGCCAAAATCGTTTGCTTTCATAATTGTTCCTAAAACAATGCACAAATGACGTACTGCTACCCAAGAATTAAAACATTGTCTTTTTACTTTAGCCGAGACCAATGCAGGGATAAAAAAAATTAAACTTACTTTTGCATACACATCTTGCCTCTTTTTGGTTGAAAACAGGGTGAAGTGATTGAAATTGAGCGGGCAAGTCAAGGAAATTAGTTTATGGTCAAAAGAACAGTTTTCAAAAACTCAGGCTCAGAGAACAGAAAAAACAAACAGTAAATTTCCTCTGCACAGAAAATACGAATTATAACTAGAGACCCCAACTTGCCTACAATAAACACAACTAAGGTCTCTGGCCATTTCCATAAGTTCTCAGACAATTGTTTCTGCATCCCAAAAAAAAAAAAAATCTAACCGTGAAGGAAGCAGGCAGGGAATTGAGGCCTAATACTCAATTCATCGCAACCTATTCAACAACTAGAAATTGGACAATGTTTGTGGTAATTTTTTTAAATAATAATTGATAATCAACTTAAATGACAAAGATCATGATTCTGTGAGTTCCAGGCCATGTGGTGGTGGTTGCCAATGTGTTGCTCCATATCTGCAGCATTCTTCCAGCCTACCAGCCACTCTTGCCTCCTTTCTTCTTCTTCTGAGGGGCCTTCTTGCGGGCCCCTGGCCCTGTGGCAGCAGGCTTCTGCTGTCGTGGAGGGACCACGTTGCTGGCACCGGGGGCCGAGGCAGAAGCTTGGGCTGACCCTGGCCGGGGGGAGGTGGGGGGGCTGCTGGCCGTCTTACTGGCATCCCTGGAAACACAGCAGAATAAATAATGTGTTACCGGCCAAATGCAACAGTACAGGTAATATGTAGGGCTGTGACGATACCAGTATTGCGATTTTTTCCATGGACAAAATCAAAACACGAAGCAGCCCAAACTCATCGGTCCTTTAAAAACCTGCTGTATGTAAAATATTGTGTGCTTTGCTTGGAAAATAATAAATGACTCTGGATGACAATATAATGATGTTTGTTTTCAACATTAGGGGGGTTTAACTAAAGCAAAAAAAGGTGCCACATCAACAAATCGGGAATCAAACAGGGTCGCATTGATTTTTCCTGAGTTCAACTATTAGAATAAGAGACACAGATACTCACAGGTCGGACGCAGCTCCTGACGTGGCGCCCTGCGTCCCTTTACCCACTTGTTCCTTCTTCTTGCCCTTCTTCCTGCCCCGGTAGTAGGTGCGCTCTCTCATGGGCAGCCATCTCTCCGGGTCAGGGTTCGCCGTGGGGTCGTAGTTCTTGGGCAGTTTGCCTAAACAGAGGCGGGAGAAAATAAGTGATTCCCCATCCCATTCAGAGATGCTGACTTTATTTAATCAGATAAGACAATTGTGTCACAAAGCATGCAGATATTCACATACAACACAACTTGCAATGAGGACATACCCTTCTTCTTCTTCCTCTTCTTCTTCTTAACATCCCCCTGGCTGTGGAGAGAGAGAATATTGATAGTGAGAGAAAGCCTATGTATATAGCATGTATAGAACAGGTAGTATGCAGCTTAATTCAAAGCGTTTTCAAAAGCTTCAGGTCGCCTCACCCTTGTTCTTTGGGTAGGTTCTCCCCCGTTAATTTAGTGGCCTTCTTTCGGACAGAGTTGGCTCCGTGAGAGTTCTCCAGCTCATCTACGTCCACGTTGAACGACATGCTTTCAGGGGAGGGGAGGTGCTTGCTGAGGCTGGGACAAAGGGCTAAGGACATAATAACATATGCTTTTCAATTTCCTAGGCAGTTCTATGCACTTTATGATAACAATGGTAAACATCACCTTGACTGAATGAAAAACTGCACAAATCAGAGATACTCATTCAAAGACTCATACTTATGTGCAGTTTTAAATACAGAGAGCAAAGAAAGGATACGACTTGGCTTTATCTTGATCCACCAAAGAGTAAGCAGAGATTAGTTGTGCCAAAGTATGGATGTCATTGGTGTTTTGCCTGTGGAACGGGGGGGGAAAACCAGTTATTACATTGAATACCAAAACGTAGACCAAGCAGCGCATTCACCAGCATCACCACTGCACAACAGAAACAGAACAATCGTTAGAACGTCACTCACTTCCACAGTTGTTCCAGGTCACTGATGGCTTCCTTTTTCCGTCCGTACTTCAGCTTGAAATCGGCGGCCTCTCGTACGAGTGCCAGGTGAACAGAGGAACCAGGCTGGGATGGAGGAATACAATAGTTGACAATGCAGTGCTATGGGAGCATATACTAACACTCACTCAGAGTCCAGGATTTTCTAAGTTACATTGACTTCATCATAAATCTAAAAAAGGTGCTTGTTGACTAATACCCTTTTCATACATAGAACGCCGCTACAGTAACGGGTTGATAGCGACAATTGATAACCTTTCCGACATTTTAAAAAGGGAGTGTCTAACTTTTCAGACAGTAGAATTCTGCTCCTGCATAGGATGTTCCGTATTGTTTCCCTGACAACAATAAACGTTGCTGATTGATGTGTTGTTTTTCTGCTGTTTTTTATGTTGGGTAGATAGATCTGTTTTCTTTCTACTAAATGCTTTGGTAAGTCATTGTATTTAACGAACGTCAAAGTACTTTCTTAGGAGCGAGTGGTCTGCGTGCAGGCAGCAGGCAGCTCGAGGTCATTTGATTGACAGTTCTGGTTGCCTAGTGATGGACATTAGTCCCACTTCAGAAGTGGCATTCCTTTACAGACAACTTAAATGCCCGTTCAGTGGCACTTCAAAACTATCTCCAGAGAAGGTTTCGTGGCGGCTTTTAAAAAGCCATTGTGTACCCTTTCAGACAAACAAAGAATCCGTAGCAGAGGTGCTTTCAAGACGCCACATTCCATATGTCTGAAAGGGGTATAATACCTGTTCTGATTGGTAGTACTGAATAGCTTGGCTGAAGACATCAATTGCGCTGTCGATGTCCTCTTCGTGGCTATACATTGATACCAGAGCTGAGATCTGTGAAAGAATTTAAATTTCTTAGTCTTATGATCCTTGAAATGTTTGTTCAGAAAATGTTAAATCTATGATTAGATTTAGGACAATAGAAGAGTGCAAAAACTAACCATCCCCTGTTTGTGCTTGAAATCTTCGATCGACCTCAAGATGTCACATGCTTTTGTAACGTGACCTTTGGAGAAGACACCGATAAATTATTTATTTACTATGAGGTTACCTTGTATAGCCTGACATATGCACAAACACAACAGAACGAAATGCTGCCAAGACAGGAGTCACTTGATCATCAAATCAAAAGATAACAGTACCAGGCATCAGTAAAGGCACTGTTTAGCACTAATCTAATCCCATTTATCTTCAATAGGCCTATTTTTGTGGTTATTACCCAGTGACTAAAATAAACGGGGATTTGGAAAGACAACCTTACCTTGAGTCAAATAGAGTTGTGCCATCGTCAATTTGATACCAGATGCACTCTCTGGGTGCTGGTCTGAGAAACGCTTTAAAACAGAATCACACAGTTAGCATTACACATGCAGGAGAAGGAAGCACTTTCAATGTCTATTTACATTCATACATCATCTACATGCATCTCAAGTTAGGATTTGGCCCACAGATAGTACCTGAAGCAACTCTATGGCCTTGGAGTGTTGCTTCTCTCTGCACAGCTGAGCCACCTGGATCAGAACGGGCCGCGGGTGGCCTGGGTTCTGGGACTGGAGGCCTGACGACAGCTTTCTGCACTGGTCCGCCTGTGGGGTATAACGTAACGCAAGTCATCAATGACTGTTTGGATTTCCAGTCTAACTTGTTCTGATTGTGCCATGAGTGTGTATAACTACATGTCAAAATAAAACTGTGAATAAAGAGTGGAGGAGATAGATCCTTTTAACAATGAATGTATTCAAATCCGATACCTGGTTAGTGTACATAGCCAACAGGGCTTTGTTGAATTCGATGGCCTGCAGCTGCTTCTTGGCCAGCTTGTACTCGACGCCGTCGGCATTTGTCAGTTTCACCTTCTTCTTAGAGTCAAACACGTTTTGGTCCTGCAGGAGAAAAAATATATGAGCAACAGCTTTGGCCCAGGATCAAAACCATGGCTTCAACAATAAGAGAACACGGTCAGCTAAGCCGGTTTCAATGTTTAGTAGTTCCTAGCAGTACGGGGAATGTTCAAGCATGTACCTACCTTGTTTATTGTAATGATGTTGTTAGCAGTCACAGCTAGAAGTCCCACATCTGACGGCCTAGGATTCAACAAAAAATCATGAGACAACTCTTCCACTACTCTCTTCCTGTGCCTACAATTGCACATCAGCTAAAATTGAATGTAATGGCTCGATTGCTTCCACTTTGGAGGAACACTCACTTGAGCTTGATGACTTGGTTATAGAGCTGCAGCGCCTCCTCTGTCCGACCCTGTAACTGCATAATGTAGGCCATCTGGGAGTGGATGACGGCCAGCTCCGACTCAACGTCCTCCTCAGTTATATCCTGCACAAATCAGACAAGCCAAATACGATTCAGAACTTGAAAAAACAGTCGGTGACATTTCTATATGTACGCTCAGCCATGACATTGTTATCGTATTTATTTCACAGGCATAGAGCACTCACCGAATCCTCTGAAAAGAAAACCCGACAAAGCTCTGAAAAAACAACAAACAAAAACGATCAACATTAACCATGAAAGGGCTGGAAAAAACCTTAAGTGCAACATTATGAAATGAGACCGTGTCTGTAGCAGGATGAATTGCAATGTCTGTGGTCCTGACCTTCTGCTTCCTGTAGTTTGTTCTGAGCCTCCGTGAGCTGGCCTCGACCAATTAGAGTACAGGCAGCGTTGTAGCTCAGCTCGTATGTAGTCTCAGAAAGGCCAAGATCATCCTGAAAAAAAGAGGGTGGATTTATTATTTAGTGTTATATAGAGACTTTGGGAAGATTAAGGATGCCAGGGCTTCAATAACCAAGTGTCTCAGAGGACCATTATCAATAGAAGTCGGTTCTAATTGTGTGCAGAAGACCCACCGGAGAAGCATTCTCCCATGTGCTCATAGCAGCCACCACAGCTGACAGGTTGGTCTTCCTCTCCTCTTCGTATTCATCCTGGGAGTTCCTGATCAGGTCTGTGTAGACAGCCTTGCACTCATCATAGCGCTCCATACGGTACAGCTAAGGTGAGAACAAAAGGGGAGGCCAGGTTTGTCACCATTTACCACAGCCACAAAGTCAAAATGGTCTATATCGTAAAAATTCACATAAACAAAAATTCATTATTATTATAATTTTTTAAATCTTAATTTAAGGTATGGATTAGGCACAAGGTTAACAGTGTGGTTAGGGTTAAAATCAGATTTTACGAAGAAACATTGTAGAAATAGGCCAGGTTTAGCCATAATTATTACTTTGTGGCTGTGGTAACTAGTGACGACCAGAGGCCAGGGGTCAGTACATTGGCACTTTGGCTGGCAGGATTATCCACTAAAGGGTAGACAGACAAGCAGCGGAAACAACACCTCATGTATTTTCTTATTTTCAAAAAGTCTTACCACTTGGCCATAGAGTTCCTTGAGCTTGTCTGTTTGTTCCGAAACACTTTCAATGGTCTTCAGGGCACTTTCAACTCTGTTCAATCGGTACTCACAGTAGGCCTTTTCAAACACAATAAGGTCACTGAGGAAGAACAAAAAAAAAGTGTTCAACATTGGAAAAAGGGTACAACCAGGAGTTTCTCCGACCAAGTCAAGTATTTATAGACTTTGCAATGCTACAAGATTATCAAAATGTAACAATATGATCCAGTCAGTCATATTCAACATACCTGCCAAGTACTTTTGAATAAGTGTTCATGACATTCAGTGCCTCTTTGAAGCTGCCATTCTGCACCAGGCAAACTATTTTACAGTGAAGGGCTGTCACGTCTTCCTTGACTTCATGCAAAACTGTGGAAGAAACGCACTTCGTGATTACAATTTACACTTAAAGGTATAATTTTTCTTCAGGTCACCACCATCAAACTAGTTAGCTATAACTTAATCAAATCTCAATTTGTGGTGTGTAATAGTGCACACGGAACAATATTTTTGTACAAATCTGTATTTTTGTGTAAATCTATATTTTTGCGCAAATCTATGAATCACAGTTCCCTGGTGAATAAAAGACTGCTACCTACGGTAGGATAGATCTTTAAGCGTCTAGCACGGTTGTTGCTATATAGTGTGGCTAACTAGCTAAGCTAGTAACGGTAGCTAGCTAGCTAATTGGGACACGTCACTGTGTTTACCACAATTGAAAGATTAATGTTAATCAAAATGTGATATTACTGTCCTCAACTAAATCTACACTAGACTCCGACTTATCATTTCGTACAATTACTCAAATATAAACAGAAACTAGTTAGTGATTAGCTTGATTAACGTATAGCTGCATATTTCTGCTAGCTAACGCTTTAGCTAAGTGCTAACAGCTGTAGCTAGCCAGCTGGCTAGCAAACTAGTCAGCCCTCAAACAATAGATCATGTATTCAGCTTGACAGTTACAAACATGTGAACAAGAGCAAAATCCTACTTTTGTTGACAGCTTTGAGGGCCCGAGTGAAGTCTCCATTCTGTCCACAGCGATTCACTTCGGTCCACAGCGAAGCAACGGCGCCGCCTCCACTCGACATCTTTCGCTGTATGCGAAACTGCCGCCGGAAGCAAAATGATGTTTCTTCCGGGTTAATAGAATCACAACTAAACCTAAAGAAAAACAAAAAAAGTGAGGAATCCCCATGCATTTAAAAAGACAAACATCATAATACAACATAATATACTAGCTAGTTATATTATTTCATTTTTGTCAATAGAAATGGCATTGATATTAACAGAGTATTAAGAATAAACTCTCTCATCAACACAAGGATAATTAGCTAATACTGATACAGGGTGGGGTTTAAGCATACAAATGCATAAATCAGATGAGTTTGTCTGCGATTAATTGATTATTGTGTATAGTTTATTTATTCAAAGACAAGTTTCCCGTTTAGAGTGATGGGTTTCGCCCATGCGCAATGCTAGCTACAGACCGCTCTTTGAAATCTTATGCACCGACTGTTTGATCCAGTAGCAAGGGTGTGTTGTTGTTGACGAGGACTGTGTGACAAGTTTATGTCCTACAGAAATGGCCGGGATTAAAGGTGAGGAAGTTGCTGTCTTACTTTTAGATAATACATTAACTGGATTAGTAATCACACAAATATGTATAAACGCTGAAAGGATGGATGTGCTGCTAGCTATCAAGCTAACAACTGAGTACTAACTAGTTAGTCGGCTAAGCTAACGCCATTCTTTGCTAGCTAAACTAGCTAACGTCAGTTAGCTTTGACAGCCCGATAAATAGCAGTGTAGCTAGCTAACGTTAGCTAACTATCTAGCTAAATAAAAATGTTGCAGCTTGGCTAGCTAGCTACATATCTAACGTTACATATCAAAGAGAGATGAAGCAGTATAGCTAATGTTAGCTAGCTTGGCACCTGGCTAGTTCTGGTAGTGTAGTTTCGAATGGCCAACTAAGTTAGCTAGCTAATGATTGCCATTCTGAATCAATGAAATCCACAACCTCCAGTGTTGTTAGTGATTGGTTGTTATGGCAAGCCAGGTAATGTAGCTAGCGCTAACTAGCTAAGAAAGCTATCAAGCTAGCTAGCTATGATGCAATGATGACTTCAAGCTAGACCTCGCTAGCAATTGCATTGTCTCTCCTCACCAACTAGCTAAGTAACCATGACATGCAGGAGTTTACAAATGAAACGATAATAATAGCACCTAGCCACCAATTTCACATTCACATAATAAATAGTAGCTGAAAATACTCAGCATCCCCTCACCCAAGCATTAGGGCCACGGTCAGATGATCAATTATGACCAAAATATTTAGTCTTACACACACGCACACAGCTGCTTAGTTTCATTACCACTCCTTTCTAGCTCTGATCGGCCTGTCCTTTGGTGGGGCCATTGGACTCATGTTCCTGATGCTAGGATGTGCCCTTCCAGTGTATGAGTAAGTATCTCCATCATATTCAACCTGACTGTCATGATGCAGGCCTTTGTAATATGATGCTGCCCAGATGTAGTATTTTTCCAGTCATAACTGATGGGAACTTCTCTCTTCACAGTAAATACTGGCCCTTGTTCCTCCTCTTCTTCTACATCCTCGCCCCAATCCCTTACTGCATCTCCCGGAGAATTGTTGACGACACAGACTCGGCCAGCAATGCCTGCAAAGAGCTGGCTTTATTTCTCACAACAGGCATAGTGGTTTCAGCTTTCGGCCTGCCAATCATTTTCGCCAGAGCCAATGTTGTAAGTACACATCTTGGTGATTTTGCATGTGTAGGCTAAGTGGTACTTGGCAACACTTTGCACTTATACCTGTGCAGTTGTAACATTGTATTAGCTTTGCTGTTAAAGTAATTGCTTTCTAATTGCATACATTTTTGTTGTTACACAAATGGAATAAGGACCATTCCTGTTATATCTTATAGGCTACCATTTATGTAAAAACAAGAAATGCTGAACTCCATTACTAAACAACAGTTTACAAAGGACTTTGTTTTGCTCAGTCCAAACCACAGATTGAAAGTGTGCTATGCAGAATTTTGTAACATGAGCGGACTGAATTATTCATGTTTGTTGTTTACAGATTGCCTGGGGAGCATGTGCGCTTGTGTTAACAGGCAACATAGTGATCTTCGCAACCATTCTGGGATTCTTCTTGGTCTTCGGATCAAACGACGACTTTAGTTGGCAGCAGTGGTAAAATTGGGAGTGTGGGGTGGGGGGCTAAGTCTGAACTGTTTATATTTCTATAATTATTATTATGATTGTAATTATGATTACTATTGTTGTTGTTTATTTATGACCACCCATCCATAGACACATTAAACCAGTGCAATCTGTTTTGACTGTCATGCGGAATGTCAGACTGACTTCAGGTGGATGTGCTGTCTTTCATTTGGACTTCGCCATTCATGTACTGTACAGGCTTATCTTTTGACTGTCACAATCTTTATAATGTTGAGATCAAAAATGGCCATCTTATCTGTGCAAATGCAAAAATGTCAACCTGGATTCAGATTGACCTATGGGAGGGATTGTGACTTTTTAAAAATTGTCTGAAAGGTGTAATCTTTTCCTGTGACAAAGATATCTAACTGACAAATGGTGTACAATAGCATGCTGGTCAGTCTCGAGAGGGAAGTTTCCCCCTCCAATTGCTGACGGCACAGGATATTTTGTATGGAGTATGTGTTGTTTTTGAAGAGCACATTGAAAGCTGTAAGCTTTAGTCTCTCAGATTGAAACCATTCAATACGAAGGTAGATACAGCATACATTGATATAATACATTATCCAATGCACTGTCCCCCATTTGCAGTCGTCAAATTCTAATGACTCAGCTATTTACAGACGCTCATTTGAGACAGGCCTCTTGTGCTTTGTTGTTTAGCCTAGCGTAGCATATTCTGTTCCTTTTGAAAAATGTCTAGAAATCATTGTAACCCTGTGTCATCTTCTCTCTCTAAAACAGAGTTGGCATCGATTTGTTGGAGCAAGGTTTAGAAATCATCAAAAATCTTCGTCAGACAGCCCAGGATTAGGGCTAACCGGTGGAAACATGGCCAACTTAAGATCTAGGCTACTTATAACCTGGGTAATACCGCTAGGCCTGGATTTACCAGGTATCTTATTGGTTTCTATACCTGGAGTTGGAAAAAAAAGGCTGCACTGTAATTATGTTTCAAAGATAAATGTGGATGAACCCCAGTTTTTACCAAGGCACATAATGTTTTGGCCTATATTTAGTACACCTGCACTAAGATGTACTCGCATCCTCTTCTTGAAGGAAATGAACTCGCCGTATAGGCCTAAACTAGTTTTCATGTGGTCCTTATATGCCTGCATTGGGTGTGCTGATACCATACATTCTCTCAGTGTAGTTTGTCATTAGTTAAAGGTCTTAGTGAACAGTGCGCTGCAGCTTTGGAGGTTGTTACATTTAACTGAAATAGTCGTAGCTAAGAAGGGTATTAAGCATCTGTCACCCCATGTGCATTGGTTTGTTCAGCTGGGTGGAAGGGTTGAGTGTTTATGATCGCTTTTTATTTTATTTTGCGGGTGGAACTGTTATCTTTGAAAAGTGGTCTCTGGAAGAGACACACAAAAAAGCTAAACCCATCTCAAAATATTCCTAAAATAACCGGAAGCACTGATGAATCAGGTATCTCTTTTTGTGTCACTCAGTTTGTGAATAGGTTTGTCAAATTCTTATTTCCAGTCTTCCAGAGACCACAACCTCAGTGAAGATAGTGATTGTATCATAATGAAAACTCTTTTGCACCTTTTTGAGTTTAGCTGAACTTTTAAATAATAATTATTACCTTGATTCAAATTGAAACTGTTACTTTCCTTACATCAAAACAAATAATCAAATATACATTTACGCCTACAGCAATGCACTGATGGTATATCTACAGTTTTTGGACATCTAAGGTATTCCATAGTGTTTTTAAACCACATAATTAGTGTTATAGCACTGCTTATTGAAAGTTTGAGAAATGTCCAATAAATTCCAATATAATTCAATCAAACAAATGAACACATACAAACTGCAGTATCAGGTCATTCTAGTCATGGGATGGGTTCGTCACTGATCTCTTTTGTGAAAGATATGATGTTTCACAGACCTGAAATAATATTTTATTTATTAATTTTAGCGGACACTTTGTATTTATTATTATTTTATTTTTAGTCATTTAGCAGACGCTCTTATCCAGAGCGACTTACATGTCCAATTGCCATTTTCTATCTACAAGTTTTGTGTTCGGAGACAGAAGTCAACATGGTGGTTTTCTTTTCTAAATAAATGCAATTTTTGAACATCTTCTCATTTAATTAATTATACATCGAACTCCAATATCAACACGTCCAAGTTGCATTTGGTATGAGACTTTTGAAGAGCCTGTTATTTATTGGTTCTTCCTTGACTACTGAACCTTCAGATCTCACGAGGATCAAACCATTGATTCTATCCAGTTGCTTTTATATGTTCCACACTGGTGTGTGTGTGTGTGTGTGATGTAAGGTAGTGATTGAAATGTGTATTAACCTCCTCACATGGAAGCAGGTAGTCAAGTACTAACACAGGAGGAATAGCTGTGGTTTGTCTCCCCCACCTGGCAAGGAACTGACACATGAAACAAGGCAGTGCATAAGCTGATTCTTATTTTTATGTATATACACTACCAGTCAAAAGTTTGGACACACCTACTCATTCAAGGGTTTTCAGAAGATAGCCATATTTTGTAAAATACCAAGTCCATATTATGGCAAGAACAGCTAAAATAAGCAAAGAGAAACAAATAATATAAAATATATTTTTATTGGTTTAACACTTTTTTAGTTACTACATTATTCCATATATGTTATTTCATAGTTTTGATGTCTTCACTATTATTCTATAATGTAGAAAATAGTAAAAATATAGAAAAACCCTTGAATGAGTAGGTGTGTCCAAACTTTTGACTGTACCCAGTCCACCTGGTCGTGCTGCTGCTCCAGTTTCAACTCCTCTGACTGCGGCTATGGAACCCTGACCTGTTTTTAAATGTTTTACAATTTGGACTCCAGACCAAAGGACACATTTCCACCGGTTTAATGTCCATTGCTCGTGTTTCTTGGCCCAAGCAGGTCTCTTCTTGTTATTGGTGTCCTTTAGTAGTGGTTTCTTTTCACAATTTGACCATGAAGGCCTGATTCACACAGTTCCCTCTGAACAGTTGATGTTGAGATGTGTCTGTTACTTTAACTCTGTGAAGCATTTATTTGGGCTGCAATTTCTGAGTCTGGGGACTCTAATGAACTTATCCTCTGCAGCAGAGGTAACTCTGGGTCTTCCATTCCTGTGGCGGTCCTCATGAGAGCCAGTTTCATCATAGCGCTTGATGGTTTTTGCGACTGCACTTGAAGAAACTTTCAAAGTTCTTGAAATGTTCCGTATTGACTGACCTTCATGTCGTAACGATGGACTGTAATTTCTCTTTGCTTATTTGAGCTGTTCTTGCCATAATATGGACTTGGTCTTTTACCAAATAGGGCTATCTTCTGTAAACCCCCCCTACCTTGTTACAACACAACTGATTGGCTCAAACGCATTAAGAAGGAAATAAATTACACAAATTAACTTTTAAGAAGGCATACCTGTTAATTGAAATGCATTCCATGTGACTACCTCATGAAGCTGGTTGAGAGAATGTCAAGAGTGTGCAAAGCTGTCATCAAGGCAAAGGGTGGCTATTTAAAGAATCTCAAATATAAAACATATTTTGATTTGTTTAACACTTTTTTGGTTACTACATGATTCCATATGTGTTATTTCATGGTTTTGATGTCTTCACTATTATTCTACAATGTAGAAAATAGTAAAAATAAAGAGAAACCCTTGAATGAGTAGGTGTCCAAGCTTTTGACTGGTAGTGTGTGTGTGTGTGTGTGTATATATATATACACTGCTCAAAAAAATAAAGGGAACACTTAAACAACACAATGTAACTCCAAGTCAATCACACTTCTGTGAAATCAAACTGTCCACTTAGGAAGCAACACTGATTGACAATACATTTCACATGCTGTTGTGCAAATGGAATAGACAACAGGTGGAAATTATAGGCAATTAGCAAGACACCCCCCAATAAAGGACTGGTTTTGCAGGTGGTGACCACAGACCACTTCTCAGTTCCTATGCTTCCTGGCTGATGTTTTGGTCACTTTTGAATGCTGGCGGTGCTTTCACTCTAGTGGTAGCATGAGACGGAGTCTACAACCCACACAAGTGGCTCAGGTAGTGCAGCTCATCCAGGATGGCACATCAATGCGAGCTGTGGCAAGAAGGTTTGCTGTGTCTGTCAGCGTAGTGTCCAGAGCATGGAGGCGCTACCAGGAGACAGGCCAGTACATCAGGAGACGTGGAGGAGGCCGTAGGAGGGCAACAACCCAGCAGCAGGACTGCTACCTCCGCCTTTGTGCAAGGAGGAGCAGGAGGAACACTGCCTGAGCCCTGCAAAATGACCTCCAGCAGGCCACAAATGTGCATGTGACTGCTCAAACGGTCAGAAACAGACTCCATGAGGGTGGTATGAGGGCCCGACGTCCACAGGTGGGGGTTGTGCTTACAGCCCAACACCGTGCAGGACGTTTGGCATTTGCCAGAGAAAACCAAGATTGGCAAATTCGCCACTGGCGCCCTGTGCTCTTCACAGATGAAAGCAGGTTCACACTGGGCACATGTGACAGACGTGACAGAGTCTGGAGACGCCGTGGAGAACGTTCTGCTGCCTGCAACATCTTCCAGCATGACCGGTTTGGCAGTGGGTCAGTCATGGTGTGGGGTGGCATTTCTTTGGGGGGCTGCACAGCCCTCCATGTGCTCGCCAGAGGTAGCCTGACTGCCATTAGGTACCGAGATGAGATCCTCAGACCCCTTGTGAGACCATATGCTGGTGCGGTTGGCCCTGGGTTCCTCCTAATGCAAGACAATGCTAGACCTCATGTGGCTGGAGTGTGTCAGCAGTTCCTGCAAGAGGAAGGCATTGATGCTATGGACTGGCCCGCCCGTTTCCCAGACCTGAATCCAATTGAGCACATCTGGGACATCATGTCTCGCTCCATCCACCAACGCCACGTTGTACCACAGACTGTCCAGGAGTTGGCGGATGCTTTAGTCCAGGTCTGGGAGGAGATCCCTCAGGAGACCATCCGCCACCTCATCAGGAGCATGCCCAGGCGTTGTAGGGAGGTCATACAGGCACGTAGAGGCCACACACACTACTGAGCCTCATTTTGACTTGTTTTAAGGACATTACATCAAAGTTGGATCAGCCTGTAGTGTGGTTTTCCACTTTAATTTTGAGGGTGACTCCAAATCCAGACCTCCATGGGTTGATACATTTGATTTCCATTGATAATTTTAGTGTGATTTTGTTGTCAGCACATTCAACTATGTAAAGAAAAAAGTATTTAATAAGATTATTTCATTCATTCAGATCTAGGATGTGTTATTTTAGTGTTAATTAAGAGACCACTGCAAATTTTTCTTAAATCAGCATCTCTACATGTATGACAGCCATTCCATTCCAGTGTCTGTTGAATTCCAACACAGGCACACCTCATTCTACTGAATTAGGTACTGATTAGGTGATCACATGAACCAAATCTTATTTAACGAGGAAAAGTATAAAATCCACTGCTGTGGTCATCACTATCCTCTTGCAATAGGACCAGCTGGATGGCAAAAACAGTGCTAATAGTACCTCAAAAGTAATATTAATCAAAAAATAACTATTGACCATGCCAAAAGAGTTGAAAAGGAAAGTTTTGAGTGAGGAAAAGAAGGGTTCAATTCTGGCTTTATTGGCAGAGGGATACAGTGAGCGTCAGGTTGCTTCCATCCTTAAAATTTCAAAGACGGCGGTTCATAAGAACAAGGTCAAGCAGCAGACATTGGGGACAACACAGCTACAGACCGGCAGAGGGTGAAAACGACTCTCTACTGACCGGGATGACCGCCAACTCATTCGAATGTCACTCAACAACCGTAGGATGACATCAAGTGACCTACAAAAAGAATGGCAAACGGCAGCTGGGGTGAAGTGCACGGCGAGGACGGTTTGAAACAGGCTCCTAGGGGCAGGGCTGAAGTCGTGCAAAGCTATAAAAAAGCCCTTCATCAATGAGAAGCAAAGAAAAGCCAGGCTGAGGTTTGCAAAAGACCATAAGGATTGGACCGTAGAGGACTGGAGTAAGGTCATCTTCTCTGATGAGTCCAATTTTCAGCTTTGCCCAACACCTGGTCGTCTAGTGGTTAGACGGAGACCTGGAGAGGCCTACAAGCCACAGTGTCTCGCACCCACTGTGAAATTTGGTGGAGGATCGGTGATGATCTGGGGGTGCTTCAGCAAGGCTGGAATCGGGCAGATTTTGTCTTTGTGAAGGACTCATGAATCAAGCCACGTACAAGGTTGTCCTGGAAGAAAACTTGCTTCCCTTTCCTCTGACATTGTTCCCCAACTCTGTGGATTGGTTTTTCCAGCAGGACAATGCGCCATGCCACACAGCCAGGTCAATCAAGGTGTGGATGGAGGACCACCAGATCAAGACCCTGTCATGGCCAGCCCAATCTCCAGACCTGAACCCCATTGAAAACTTCTGGAATGTGATCAAGAGGAAGATGGATGGTCACAAGCCATCAAACAAAGCCGAGCTGCTTGAATTTTTGCGCCAGGAGTGGCATAAAGTCACCCAACATCAATGTGAAAGACTGGTGGAGAGCATGCCAAGACACATGAAAGCTGTGATTGAAAATCAGGGTTATTCCACCAAATATTGATTTCTGAACTCTTCCTAAGTTAAAACATTAGTATTGTGTTGTTTAAAAATGAACATGAACTTATTTTCTTTGCATTATTCGAGGTCTGACAACACTGCATCTTTTTTGTTATTTTGACCAGTTGTCATTTTCTGCAAATAAATGCTCTAAATTACAATCTTTTTTTTGGGACTTTGGGAGAAATGTTGTCAGTAGTTTATAGAATAAAACAAAAATGTTAATTTCACCCAACACATACCTATAAATAGTAAAACCAGAGAAACGTATATTTTTGCAGTGGTCTCTTAATTTTTTCCAGAGCTGTATATATGGGCCGCACTGAAAATTTGTTATATTTCCTCAACATCAAAATCTGTAAAAAATGGTCCTCTTTCCATCGTTTTTTGAATTTACGATGCTCCATGACTGTCTAGCTTTCATTTCGGTGATTATTAGCAATCTGGAAACAGTCAAGAAACTGTATGAATGTAGGTCCATTATCATTTCTACACAGTTATGATTTGGTTTTTGTAAAAAATAATATTATTTATTTTATTTTATTTTCAATTTAACCAGGTAAGCCAGTTGAGAACAAGTTCATATGGGGTAAACAAAACATAAAGTCAAAAATACAACAGAAAATATATATACAGTGTGTGCGAATGTAGTAAGTTATGGAGGTAAGGCAATAAATACGCCATAGTGCAAAATAGTTACAATTTCGTATTAACACTGGAATGATAAATGACAGCGAGGGCTGTTCGATGCTAATGCAGTACGCCACAGGATGTTTTTGTGCTGGTCAAGGGCAGTCAAGTCTGAGGAGAACCAGGGGCTATATCTGTTCTTAGTTGTGAATTCTTTGAATGGGGCATGCTTATTTAAGATTGAGAGGAAAGCACTTTTAAAGAACAACCAGGCATCCTCTACTGACCGAACGAGGTCAATATCCATCCAGGATACCCGGGCCAGGTCAATTAGAAATGCCTGCTCGCTAAAGTGTTTTAGGGAGCGTTTGACAGTGATGAGGGGTGGTCGTTTGACCGCGGACCCATTACGGACGCAGGCAATAAGGCAGTGATCACTAAGATCCTGGTTGAAGACAGCGGAGGTGTATTTAGAGGGTAAATTTGTCAGGATGATATCTATGAGGGTACCCATGTTTACAGATTTAGTGTTGTACCTGGTAGGTTCGTTTATCATTTGTGTGAGATTGAGGGCATCTAGTTTAGATTGTAGGTTGGCCGGGGTGTTAAGCATATCCCAGTTTAGGTCACCAAGCAGTACGAACTCTGAGGATAGATGGGGGGCGATCAGTTCACATATGGTGTCCAGGGCACAGCTCGGGGCTGAGAGGGGTCTGTAGCAAGCGGCAACAGTGAGAGACTTATTTCTGGAAAGGTGGATTTTTAGCAGTAGAAGCTCAAACTGTTTGGGCACAGACCTGGATAGTACGATAGAGCTCTGCATGCTATCTTTACAGTAGATTGCAACCCCACCCCCTTTGGCAGTTCTATCGAGACGGAAAATGTTGTAGTTGGGGATGGAAATTTCAGAATTTTTGGTGGCCTTCCTAAGCCAGGATTCAGACACTGCTAGAACATCAGGGTTGGCGGAGTGTGCTAACGCAGTGAATAACTCAAACTTAGGGAGGTGGCTTCGGATGTTAACGTGCAAGAAGCCAAGGCTTTTACGGTTACAGAAGTCAACAAATGATAACGCCTGGGGAGTAGGAGTGATACTGGGGGCTACAGGGCCTGGGTTAACCTCTACATCACCAGAGGAACAGAGGAGGAGTAGAATAAGGATACGGCCAAAGGCTTTAAGTACTGGTCTTCTAGTGCGTTGGGTACAGAGGGGCAGATTTCTGCCCGTTGTAGAATAGATTCAGGGCATTATGTACAGACAAGGATATGGAAGGATATGAGTACAGTGGAGGTAAACCTAAGCGTTGGGTAACGATGAAAGAGATAGCATCACTGGAGTCGGTCTCCGCGTGTATGGGGGGTGGGACAAAGGAGCTATCTAAGGCAGGTTGAGCTGGGCTGGGGGATCTACAGTGAAATGGTACAATAAGATATAACCGAAACAGCAATAAACAAGGCATATTGACATGGGAGAGAGGCATAAAGCAATCACAGGTGTTATTCGAGAGAGCTAAGACAACAGCTGGTAATGGCAACAAAGTTTGGGGTGAGGCTAAACATAAACAGGATGCGGTACCGTAAAAAGGAACGTAAAATCTCAAACCACTCGCAGGCCGGATTGGACCCCTTTGGCCCGTGGGCCGTATATTTGACACCCCTGGTCTAGACCACTCTAAATGTGAAAGTGACATAGAAATAGTCATGTAGGTACAGTTATTGCGAACACTCATATGATATCACAACGGGAAGAGTTAGGGTGAGTGCTTGAACCTGCTCTGTCTCTGTCTATAGGGCAGCACGCAGCTAGAAGAAGGTAGTAGATCAATGGCCTGCCCTTTTGCTTTGGAAGGGGAGCTGAATGATACAGGTGAACCACAGTAAGGGAGGAAAGGGAATAAGGGAGATGGGAATGAGGACATTTTTTCAGCGTGCAAAGCCACATAGATGAAGAATACTGTCATATCCAATACCTGACAGCCATGTGAAAAAGGTAGGTATTGGTAGTTATTGGGTCACTATGGTAACTGTAGGACTAACGGGTCAACTGCTTTGGATGTTGGCTAATCTCTCATAGAAGAATCAGGCTGGGATTGAAATGCATTAAAAGCAATGCATTGTAATGTACTGTGCAAAAGAATATCAACATCATAATCAATTGAAAAAAATATTATCTGTGTAGTTCTACAAGAAAAACAGCAAAACACTAACAGAGTTGGCTATACTCAGGGTACATGTCATGCTTTCACAGTTATGTTTCTAGTTAAGCCCTATCACATTTTACAGTGTTCAAATTCCAAACCTACTGTACATTGACTGAGAGAATCATTAGAATACGTAAGAGTAAGTTGTCCTCTGATGTGGAGGGATAGTGGTTAAAGGGGAGACAAGATTTCCATTCACAGGGTTGACTTATTTTGGTACAGCAGTGCTGGAGGGGGAATGCCTGGTGGCAAGGGAGAGAGAGAGAGGAGCCTGCAGAATGAGCCGGAGGCTCTGTCCGCACAGCTCTGCCAACAGGAGCAGGTCAACATAGCTAATGTTCAAAAACGACTAACTGCTCCGCAGGATTTATCATGGACAGGTTTGACATTGTGTACAATTGCCGAAGAAAGTGATCTTAATTGCATGGATTAGGAGCCATTTAATTTTGTATATCTTTCTAAGGGTCTACCTTCAATTGGTAGAAAGTAGAATCTCAATGCAAAAAACTATACATTCCGATGCAAGGGAAGCTATACAAAATGCCTTGACACATTCCTGTCAAATCTTAATTCTGTTAAACTACTCTCAAGTATGGGCTCGCTAGCCACATTTATCTATAGGTGTTTCTGGAAAAGACTCTTGTAACATCTCCAGAGTCTCTCTAGTGGATGACGTGAATACTAATGGTGTAATACAGGGAAATGTCATGAACATTCCTCCCATCTTTACCATAGCATGTGTTGAATACATATCTTTTGCCTTCTTGTGTTTCTGTCTGGGTGGTTTATGTGGCCCTCACCAAGGATCTGTTTGCGTTCTTGCAGCAACGGGTGCATCTTGTGGTGGAGGAGAGCTCCAGAGACGCTGCGCTGCTGGGCCTACAGCTGGAACAGGTCAACTCAGAGCTACTGCATCTGCAGAGCTCGGAGGTGCAGCTGGAAGGCCTGGTGGAGGAGCTGTACACTGAGGCCCTGCAGAGAGCTGCACTGACGGATGGGCTTCATGCGCAGCGGAACAGGTAGGCCTACACTGCCCTGCACTGTGGGAAATGGCAAGTAAATGGATGTGTGTGTGTGCCCAAAGACCCCCTGAATGTTTAACACATAAGACATACTTTTTTAAATGGCAGCAGTATTTAGCCAGCTGTTCAAATGGACATAATGTAGAAGTAAAGCCAGTCTAAGCAAAGAAACATAAAAATGTATGAAACGCCTAACTTTTGATTACCATCTCCTACAAACACAAAGTGAAACCGTCCCCCACTGTTTTAAAAACATGTCGAACAGATCTCCAACTAGTCATATTGTCACCCGTCAAATAAAAACATTGAGTTTGAATTTGTGATTTTAAGTCAGCGAAAACACACACGCCCTTAAGCATGCTGTGTCATAGTTCGCTGACTTCGAATCCCCAGTTTGGAAAGTTGGCTGACGGTCAGAATACGTTATCACATCGTGATTCCAGCGGTACTTTTGCACTATGGGGATGATAGAGAGAGGGGAGTTTGACATGAGCTCAGCTCAAAACCCTTCCTTGAGCTGAAATTAATTGTTTGCCTGTGAAAGATAAACTGGGGAATCATAGTCTTTCTAAGAAGTATGTTTTCATGATTGATAGTACAAGAAAATGACGTCACCAGGGGGTAACATGTTGGTTAGATATATTGGCTGTTCATGCAACATTCAGGAAGGATGCTGCATAATGGATATTTTAACACCACAAATTAGAAACATCTCTAAATGCATGTTGCACCTTAATATGTTAACTTTTAACACTTTCATATATTTTTGTCCGACAGTAAGATATGGGAGCTGGAAGCGCTTCAGTGCCACTACGGCGCCAGCACCCAGGAGCTGGAGGAGCTGCGCAGCGCCCATCAGAGGAAATGGCAGGAACTGCAGCGCGAGAATGAGAAATTGTGCAGCGCCTACCAGAGGAAGGTGCAGGAACTGCAGCGGGAAAACGAGGGCAGCCTGAGGAAGCTCCAGGAGACGGCTGAGCAGTTTGAGTGGCTGTGTGAACAGCAGCGCTACTGGATGTGCTGCGTCAAGAGGTAGGTATGCTCTACCCATCACTCTGTTGTCATTGGTTATGTAGCACAGACAGAGGAACGGACACAGTAAATCCATAACCCCAGATTTGATATCTGAATAAAACCTCCAGACTGCCTGTCAGAGGAGAAGGTGGCTCTGTTGCAGCTGGTGAACTGGTTGGAGAAGGAGGTAGAGGAGCTGAGGTGGAGCAAACAGGGCTCAGAGAGCCCCACCCAGATCCTGTGCTGCCCCCGAGAGGACACGGACAGCCAGCACTGTGACAGGTAACAGCAATTTGTCCTCAATGAGCCTGGGTCTCCTATAACAACTTATCTTTGATCAGTTTTTCTTCCTCAGTCATACCATTAACAGTCAGTTCAGTTATGTGTGACACAGCAAAACAGGGCCCATAACAGTTATCTTAGACATAGCTAATGTAATTGGGAACAGCGGTTATAGACACAGGACTTTCTCAGTCACACATGTCCATGTGAACTTGTTTCCTTCCCTTTCCAATTCTGCAGAATTCCCTCATGGAAATCAGACGAGATGGCTGACCTGCAAACCCAGGTCGACAAATGGAGAGGGCTGTATGAGGACTTCTTCAGCCAGTTCCCACCCCACCAAGTACACTACATTTGTCCAAACCATGGGCCACGGGTCGCACATCTCTAGTCTTCAGGGGCTGTAGAGAGTTGCGTCTTGCTGTGTGTTACCAATAGATGAGTTTGACTGCTAGTTCGCTTGCTAGGTTTAGAATGAATGAGAAGGTACAACTAATATACCTTGACTACAGACAGGACTGGTCTAAATGGACATGGCATGAGTAATATGAATCTTATGTTAAGTGAATTTTGATATTTCTTGGGCATGGATCTCTGGTTTTCTCAGGCAGTCAGTGCTATGTATGGCTGTTTCCCAGGCAACGGGGTGCTCTTCCAAACCAATGGAAAGCGATGACTAATGACTGGAGTAGGTGTTTGCCAGTGGCCTCTTTGCTTTGTTCCCTTCTGACTAACTCTGGAGTGCACGTCTCAAGATAATTCTTCTGATTGAGTGCAAATGATGCAGGCTGCAGTCTCTAGTGAGCCTGAGAGAAAAGGAAGTTAGCCAAAGCACTTAGGGACTGCCGCTGGAGATATAGGAAGCGAGACAAGCGACCATGCTAAAATCAATTACTGTTTAATAGGATTTATATGGTCGATTCACACACGAGAGACCGGACTCATGTTATGACTCTTAAATTTAAGGGAGATAAAAATATCATACCGTTACTTATATGAAGGTTTGGGGAGAAAGCAGATGTAGAATTTTCCAGAATGCTTTTTCTTCTCACTGTAAATTGTGTAGGCCGTGTGTGTGTGTGGTTTATGTTCATTGCCTTTGGCCGGGCTCACCTGTAGTTTATTTTGCATTCTTGGGGGGGACACACACACGCTGTCAACGGATACCAAAAACCTCCCTGAGGTCAGAAGACCATTAAATCTATTTTTTTCTCTTCAAACCAGTGGAGACACTCCTCAGTTTTGGCTGTTTGTGGCTCGCTACCCAACTGTTGCAGAGAACCATATAACCTCACCGTTATATTGTTTTTGTTTGTTTACCTGTCTTACATTTGACATTTATATTTTAGTCATTTAGCAGAGGCTCTTATCCAGAGCGACTTACAGGAGCAAGTGCCTCACTCGATTGTTTTTTCACCTAGTCGTCTCGGGGATTCCAACAACCTTCCGGTTACTGGCCCAACCCTGTTAACCGCTAGGCTGCCTGTCTTGAAACCCCTCCATGACCATGACTGTACCGGAGAATGATATACAGCTGTGTCACAGTCTATTGTCTGTCTTTTGTTATGGCCCTGCACAATGCATTCCTATTTGGCCACACTTTCCTGTCATTGTCTATTTCTAAGACACACTGGTGGAACAGAGTAATCAACAAGTAAAAACATTTAAAAACACCTGAGAATGTCTTGTCACTCTGCCAATCCTGATGATGACTCTAGCTGATGAGCAGAAAACAACACATGCTGATACACATTAACTCCCTTCACTCACAATTAGCCAGGTGTTTGTTCGAAGACATGGTCTAGTTAATTTCTATATCACCCACAAGAGGATTAAAAAGCTGCCGTGCCACCGCCAGGTGTAAAGTCACATGACCTTAAGGTGTTCTGGAAGGCAAAGGTGTAGCCAAGGATTAACTATGTGTGGCAGCTGGAAACTTGTTGAATTTGCACACAATAAAAAGTTGTAAACTCGACCATGCAGAACCCAACCTCTGAGAGTACTCCATATAGGGTTTATTAATGGCACCCTTATAAGTATTACAAGAATAGCATTTTTATGTTTAACCTTAGTCGCAGCCAGGGAAAACAGATATACATTTACACCAGGATATATCCAATAAAAAAGTGAGACTTGTTAAAAAGTGAGACCCAGAGACTTGTATTTTGCTGTGTGTAAAATTTACGTTTGTCTATTCGGCTGCTTGTCTAGGTATGAAGTCCACACTTAGGGGTTATAAATAGAAGTGGCTGAGACTGGGAGTTGTAAATGTTGTAAATAGGCCACTTATGGAGACACAGGGTTCATGTAAGGAATGCCTCTACGTGTCTCCTCAGAAAACACTTCACTTCTCAACTCGTTCCTGACCTCTGGGTCTAACAAGCGACAGACATACGGCTTCTTACAAAGGCTTCTTGCTTATTAAAGAGAAAACATTGCCAAAACGTTGAGTCCTATCTGGTTCCTCACGATCTTACAGATTAGATTTCACCCTAAATGAGGTGAAATTTGTTTACTGAAAGGTCTCATGTTTGGTTAGACCAGATTAATTATTATGGATGTTTCTGTCTCGCTCAGAGGAAAAGACAAACTCGTCGTCTGCATGTTAATGCAAAACAGAGTGGAATTATGTGGTTGTTTGACACCGTGTTTAGAGGGATATGTAAATGTTTAATGCTGGAGTGAGTAAACACACAAAAGGGGTTAGGTGTCAAGATTTGGAGAGGGGCTGCTCGGCCAAACTGTGACACCCACGCACTATGCATCTGCACCAACATCCCTGTGACACAACACTACCAAAACAAGATGTTAATCTTAAACTCACAATGACATCACACGCAGAACAGTTGCTCTGTAAAAACAAGTGAGTGGCTCTGTCAAGTGAGGATAGTAGTGGCATTGATATCGAGTGTGCTAGTAGGCGTCCACAGCCCCTCACCCTCAGCAGCTCCCTTTGTCCAGCGTCAATGAGCGCTCTCCAAACAAAGAGGATAGGGCCTCCTTCAGCGCTCGGGGTGCTAAGAGAGAATGAGTTGGGGGGGGGGACTCATGGCTCGACGGAGACTTGTTGACACACCGTTGACCCCCCCCCCCCCGTTGGCGAGCGGCAGAAGTTTATTTTACAGCTGGCGGGGTGACCGGGGGGTGACAGGGTGCCCGCCACGGGCCAGCCAGTCAGGCAGCCAGGCCACCGGGTGTGCAGGGTGAAGTGACGGAGGCTGGGTCATTACAAGCTTCAGCTGGTGGGGAGAAAATACTCTGTTTACTGCTGTAGTGTGTCTAGAAGACAGATGGGCTTTTAACATTTTATGCAGAGGACTGTAGGCCTAGTTTTAGCAAAATTGGCTATTTACCCTGGCAAGAAGTAGTGCTTGATATTACGGCTTACATGTTTCATTGTTATTAAGTTGTCAAAATCGCCAATATTCTTGCAAATGGTCGGTAAATCACAAGAGAATGTGATGTTTTTTTCTAACTTTTGAAATCCCAACAAAAAGGTTGGGATAGGTTAAAAGTTAAAACCATTGTGTAATTGTAGGTTACCATGAATGTATATGACCCTCAGGAATGTATGATACATTCCTTTACTTTTGGATTTCTAGTCCTCTCATTTTGGCTTGTTATAATCCTTTTGGATTCACTATGGAATAGAGTTGTACCCATCCCTCCATTTTCCATTCCAGGCATTGAGTAACATATACAGTTGAAGTCGGAAGTTTACATACGCTTAGGTTGGAGTCATTAAAACTTGTTTTTCAACCACTCCACAAATTTCTTAACAAACTATAGTTTTGGCAAGTCGGTTAGGACATCTACTTTGTGCATGACACAAGTAATTTTTCCAACAATTGTTTACAGACAGATTATTTCACTTATGATGTCATGGCTTTAGAAGCTTCTGATAGGCTAATTGACATAATTTGAGTCAATTGGAGGTGTACCTGTGGATGTATTTCAAGGCCTACCTTCAAACTCAGTGCCTCTTTGCTTGACATCATGGGAAAATCAAAAGAAATCAGCCAAGACCTCAGAAAAAAAGTTGTAGACCTCCACGAGTCTGGTTCATCCTTGGGAGCAATTTCCAAACGCCTGAAGGTACCACATTCATCTGTACAAACAACAGTACGCAAGTATAAACACCATGGGACCACGCAGCCGTCATACCGCTCAGGAAGGAGACGCGTTCTGTCTTCTAGAGATGAACGTACTTTGGTGAGAAAAGTGCAAATCAATCCCAGAACAACAGCAAAGGACCTTGTGAAGATGCTGGAGGAAACAGGTACAAAAGTATCTATATCCACAGTAAAACCAGTCCTATATCGACATAACCTGAAAGGTCACTCACAAGGAAGAAGCCACTGCTCCAAAACCGCCATAAAAAATGCCAGACTACGGTTTGCAACTGCACATGGGGACTTTTTGGAGAAATGTCCTCTGGTCTGATGAAACAAAAATATAACTTTTTGGCCATAATGACCATCGTTATGTTTGGAGGAAAAAGGGGGATTTGCAAGCCAAAGAACACCATCCCAACCGTGAAGCATGGGGGTGGCAGCATCATGCTGTGGGGGTGCTTTGCTGCAGGAGGGACTGGTGCACTTTTTATGTGGATATATTGAAGCAACATCTCAAGACATCAGTCAGGAAGTTAAAGCTTGGTCGCAAATGGGTCTTCCAAATGGACAATGACCCCAAGCATACTTCCAAAGTTGTGGCAAAATGGCTTAAGGACAACAAAGTCAAGGTATTGGAGTGGCCATCACAAAGCCCTGACCTCAATCCTATAGAAAGCGTGTGCAAGCAAGGAGGCCTACAAACCTGACTCAGTTACACCAGCTCTGTCAGGAGGAATGGGACAAAATTCACCAAACTTATTGTGGGAAGCTTGTTGAAGGCTACCCGAAACGTTTGACCCAAGTTAAAGAATTGAAAGGCAATGCTACCAAATACTAATTGAGTATATGTAAACATCTGACCCACTGGGAATGTGATGAAAGAAATAAAACCTGAAATAAATCATTCTCTCTACTATTATTCTGACATTTCACATTCTTAAAATAAAGTGGTGATCCTAACTGACCTAAGATAGAGTATTTTTACTAGGATTAAATGTCAGGAATTGTGAAAAACTGAGTTTAAATGTATTTGGCTAAGGTGTATGTAAACTTCCGACTTCAACTGTACCTCTATTAGCCACTTTTGGAACCCTGTCTACTACAATTACTTGCTATGAGTTGAACTTGTGTTTGAATGGGAAAACAGCAAGGTATCATTCCATATGGCTGGCACCCATAAGGGATACAAGGGGCACCAGACTGGAGATATTTCCCCCTGCAACTTTAG